AAACCCAAATTAATACAAAGGATAAAATAATAAAGATCAAAGAAGAAATAAGTGAAACAGAAAGAAAATAAAAACCAGGACATCAAGAAACAAAGTTCAAAATACCAATGATATTCATCTTAGAACCAGACAAAACAAGCATAAGGTTCGTAGGGAACCACACACACAGAAAAAAACCAACTGGCCAAAGCAAACTTGAGCAAAAGAACATAGCAGGAAGCAATATAACACCTGACTTCAAAATATGCTACAAACCTATAGTGACTTCTTAATCTTTATTTTAAAAATATTTGTTGTTTACTTTAAAGGCAGAGCCACAGGAAAAGAGAGAGAGAGAGAGAGCAAGAGATAATCTTCCATCTGCTGGTTCACTCCCCAAATGTGTGGGACAGCTAGGGCTAGGTCAGGATGAAGCTTGGAGCCACAGACTCTGCAGGCATGGCAGAGACTGAAGTACTTGTGCCATCTATCACATTCTGCCTCCCAGGACACATAAACACGAAGTTGGATTAGAAGAGGAATAGCTGGGACTCAAACAAGCACTCTGATATGGGAAATAGGTATCCCAAGAGGTGGCTTAACCTGCTGTAAAGCTATAGTAATTACATGGCATAGTATTGCTTAAAAACAGACACACAGACCAATGGAACAGAAGTGATGCTAGAAGTAAACCCACGCATTTACAGATAATTGACCTTAAACAAAAGTGCTAACAGTATGCATTAGAGAAATGACATACTTTTCAATAAAGAGGGCTGGAAAAATTGGATATACATAAGCAGAAGAATGAAACTAGACCTCTATCTCCCCTTATAGAAAAATTAATTCAAAATGGGTTAAAGAACTAAATGTTAAGAGCTGAAACAATATATAAGAAAACATAGGGAACAAAAAGATGTTGGAGTGGGCAAGGGTAAAAGCACAGGAGACACGAGCAAAAATAGACAAGTAGGATTTCCTCCAACTTAAAAGCTTCTGCATTGCAAAGGAAACACCAGAGTCAGGTGACAACTTGCAGAATGGGGGAAAATATTTGCCAAATATATGAAGGGGGTCAAAAAGTTTTTGGAAAATGAGTATTATGAAAAACCTATGCGTGGATCTGAATCTTTTCTGTACTCAAATTTATCTTTTTTTCATGCTTATTTATTTTTATTTATTTGAAAGGCAAAGTGACTGGTTCATTCCCCAAGTGCCTCCAACAGCCAGGGTTGGGCCAGGCAGAAGCCTGGAGACAGGGACTCCATCTGGTATTAGATGTGGGTTTCAGAGACTCAGTACTTGAGCCATCATCTACTGCTTCCCAAGAGCATTAACAGGAAGCAGGATAGTAAGCGGAGGTAGAGGAGGCATTTGATCCCAGGCACTATGATATGGGTTGCACTCTCAATACAGGGTATGTATCCAAATGAGAAGAAATCAGTCTGTTGAAAAGACATCTACACTCCCATATTTATCATGGTGCTATTCTCAATAGCCTGGAAATGGAAACAACCTCAGTGTCTATCAGTGGATGGATGGATAAAGAAATATGGCATATATACCTACCACTCAGCCACAACAAAGAATGAAATCCCATCATTTGCAATAACATGGATGAAACTGGAGGTCACTATGTCATTGAAATAAGCCAAGCACAGAAATACAAATATTACATGAGCTCACTCATATGTGGAATCTAAAAATGTTGATCTCAGGTTAGACATTTGGTGCAGTGGTTAAAATGCCACTTAAGATACCCGTATCTCATAACCACACTGAGTTCCAGTCCTGGCTCCACTCCCAGTTCCAGCTTCCTGTTAATATATACCCTCAGAGGCAGTAGGGGATGGCCTCAAGCATTTGGGCCCCTCTCACTCACATGGGAGAACTGGAATGAGTTTCCAGCTCCTCGCTTCATCCTCACCCAACTCTGTATGTCATGGGCACTGGAGGGTTACCCAATGGATGGAAGAACTCTGTTTTGTATCTGTTTCTCTACCTTTCAAATAAAAAAAAAAAAAAACAAATTTTAAAAATTTAAAAAATGGGCTGTGGGTTAAATTGTCATCTGCAACATGGACATTCCATATGAGTGCTAGTTTGAGTCCTGGCCATTCCACTTCTGAACCAACTTCCTGCTAATGGATCTGGGAAAACAGCAGAAGATGGTTTGGGCCTGGTCCAGTCCTGGTCTTTGAAGCCATTTGGGGGGCAAAGCAGCAGATGGAAGATCTATCTGTCCTTCCCTGTATCACTAACTTTGCCATTCAAATAAGTAAATAAATCTTTAAAAAAATTAAAACAAAGTTGATCTCACAGAAGTTGAGAGTTAACAGAGGTCGGGAAAGCTTGGGGGAATAGGAAAAGGTTGATAATATATAACAAGCATAGCTTAGTACTTAGATTGGAGTAAAATGTTTTGTTCTACAGCACAGTGGGGTCAGTATCAATGATGATAATGTATTGTACATGTACACACATATATAAAGCTGGAAGAATTTGAATGCTTTCATCATAAAGAGTTGGTAAATGTGTGAAGAGATAGAAACATTTGCTCAGATTTGAAATTATACAATGTACACATGCATCAGGACATCACATGGTATGTGATGGAATGATTTTTATGTATTATTTAAAATTAAAGACAATAGGAAAAATTGCATTTGTACTAAAAAATTTTTGGACAGTCATTGGCTAAACAGATGGGAACTGAAATTATGGGTATGGATGAGATCACCAAAAGAGAGAGTAGAGAATTGAGGCTGTAAAAACACATATTTAATAGTTAAGCACAGTGAGTAGGCTGAAAGACATATGTATATACCAGAATAGGTAACAGAAACATGGTATCTGAATATCAAGAAGGAAAGTATTTAAGGAGAGTGTGGTTTACACTGAGAGTCATGCAAAATGAAAACATCTGATTTAGCAACTGGTGGCATTAAGGAAAGCTGTCTTGGTAGCATACTGGTGGCTAAACAGAGATACAATGAATTTTAAAAACGTGTGGTAGGCAAGGAGAGGGCACCAAGGACAGGTAACTTTAATCTTAAAGGGATGGAGAGTGATCAAAAGGAACATTGTAGGAAGCCAGGAAAGAAAAGAGAGCAAAGCAATAATAGCATGTATATTAACTGTTACTCAATTTAATTACACAAGCATTTGCTGATTGCAAGAGTGCCACAGAACAAAGAACTGAGAATTCAGAGATAAGCAAGAACCAACTCCTTTCTTCAAGGTGCTCAAAGTTTAGTAGGGGTGAGGCAGAGACGGGAAAGTAATTATAAGAGAGAATATGCAGTAATAGGTGTATGAGATTAAGCAGTAGCAAAGGTGGGAGGGAAGAGTATGTTTTTTAGGAAGGAAATCAGAGAAGATGCAGAAGTGACTTTTGAACTGAGTTATGAATTCATAAGTAATTGCTAGGATGACTAAGACAAAGATATTCCAGGCAGAGGGAAAAGAATAATTTGCTGGAAAAAAAAAGCATGGGTTCTTGGAATCACATTTCCTAGATTTAAGTTGCTTCCATCATTACCAGTTGTGTGATCTTGGTAATCACAGTAGCTTTGCAAAGTCCCATTTGGCTTACCTATAAAACGAAGGGAAGGGCAAGTAGTGTAGCATAGTGGGTTAAGATGACACCTGTGACACCAGTATCCCATTTTGGAGCACTGCTCTGATTTGGATCCAGCTGCCTGCTCAAGTGCCTGGGCAAGCAGTAGAAGATGGCCCCTGCCACTCACAGGAAAGTTCAGGATGATTTCCAGGCCCCTGGCTTCAGCTTGGCCAAACCCTGGCCATTGCAACAATTTGGGGAGTGAATCAGTGAATGCAAGATCTCTCTCTCCCTCTCTCTGTCACTCTGCCTTTGAAATAAATAATAAATCTAAAAAAAAAAAAAACAAAAAAAAACCCAAAAAACCATGAAGGCTGATCATTCACATTTCAGTATTTTAAGGAGTCTTAGAAGTTGTGAGGCACTGAGTTCAGTAGTTGGCACACAGAAAACATTCAATACATGTTAACTCTTATTCTAGGGCCTACAATGCTAAAAGTCGAGGGTATGAAGCTACAGAAGTTGATCAGGAGTCACATAATGCTATGTGATGGAGCAAGGACAAAAACCCTTAGATCCACGCTGACGTCTCACCTACGTAACAAGCAGACCCCCTTTGCTCCGCTCTGCCTATACAGCCCCAGCCTGCCTTGACCAGCCCTGCCCTGCCTGGACTGTTGGACATTCCACTACCTGCAGAGTCCATCCATCAGCCTGAGCTCTCCCCACTCCTCCCAAGCTCTCTTCCCCCCAACTCAGCAGCTCAGCCTCAGGGACCAGCCTCAGCCCAAACCCCTCCCAGCTCACACTGCTATGTGGAAGCACATTTAGGTCTAGCCCAGGCTCTTCCTGCATCTCAGCAGCCCAGATTTATCGCAGGCCCCATGTCCCGTCCCGTCCCGCCACTTTGTATTATATAAATCATTAGTCTGTAAGGCAGGGGGCTCTCTCTGCCCTGTTCTCTGGCAACTCGCTTTCACTTGGGAGTGAGCGCCTCCCAGGCTTTGTTCTGAATAAACACCATCCGGCTGTGGCTTCTTCATACTCCTGTCTTTCCTGACAATATATTTGTCAGGCAAGTCAGCACTGTTCCTAGCATTAATTAAAACAAACTAGTGCAATTATTAGGGAACAGTTAAGCTGAAGATAGGCTTAATTTTACTTAAAAAAAGGTCTTCAGGAAGCATCTTAATTATAATCTCCTGTTAACGAAGCCTAGGGCAACAGGAACGTACAAGTACCTTATAGTCTGCTAATTAGGAGGCTGAGATTGCTAACCTCTAATTATGCAATTTGCAAATACTTTTTACACTGCAACATCTTGTAATATGTCTTATTTTCCATTAAGATTATTGCTAAAGTTTTCTAATATATTTTTAATGCTTCTGTATTTAAAAAAAAAAAAAAAACTCATGTAGTAATACTTCGGTTTCATTATAAACAGCTACTTCAACCTTACCACCAAAAGCCACTGATTGCGTAGCACAGTCTGCCTTCAGAATCCGGCAAGGATAGTCAGACTAGAGAAGCTGCCTGGGTAGGCGTTTAGTCCAGAGGGGCCACCTGGGACCCTGGTATCCCAACTGGAAGTACCTAGGTTTGAGTCTCAGGTCCACTTCTAACGGGCTTCCTGCTAATGTGCACCCTGGAAAGCAATAGTGATGGCTCAAGTTGGGTTCCTGCCACTCACGTGGGAAACCCAGATCGCACCCTAGGGGCTGCCCTTTTAGCCTGGCCTGGCATTGTGGGAGTGAACCAGTGGACGGAGAACCTGAAAGAGCTGCAGGTGGCTATAAGCGATTTATCCTTGATTTTTACTTTGTTTCCTTTTCTCCTGGGGGGAGGAGAGGGCGCGGAAGTTCTCATTTATGGGAACAATATTCCTTTCCGCAAAAAGGAAATTTTGTCTTGAAAAGCTAATTCTGCAACACCGCTGCTCGGAGTCCTTAATCCACTCTGCTGAGGATTTCTGAAGTTAAGCCGCACAGGCTGAGAGCTCCATTCTGGAAGTTTCCATTCCAGGTGAATCCAGGGATCCGATGACCTTTCCCCTCGCCTTGTTAACGCTTCTTTTGGTAGTCGGGGCACAGCATATTGCTAATGCCGGTTTTGATACTGGGCATGAAGTTCTGCACGCTTCTGTTCATCGTCGGGTCAATTCTAGGAGGCGTTCACCGCTCCTCGGGCTCGCTGCTTTGCGGATGACGGCTCTCTCCCGTGCAGGAGGCCTGAACTTCCCCAGCACCGTCAGTCTTACCATCTAGGCTTGTGGATGCTTAACAAACACCCAGAAACGACCCAAGAGCAACTTTGTAAGCAGCGACTTTGGCTTTCAAGGTGTCCCCTGGCCCCCAGGGACAAGCGCACGTGACTGAAAACACCTCACGAAGCCGCGCTCCGTTCATTACGAGACGTTCCAGAAGTTTCCTTCACAGAAAACAATTCCACGCACCTATACCTCTTCCAGGCAGAACCCTGGCAAATTGGTTACACCAACTACTGAAGGGTCGTCAGCGACAGGCTGGAAACGCCTCTCCAGCAGTCTCCGCAGCTGCTACTTCGGGCACAGCCCGTCCGACCAGCGATGGTTGCGGCTCGGAAGACCGCGGCCCGGGGGGCTAGGCCGCTGAGCTGCGTCAGCGCTGCGGGTCCGGGGAATCCCGCGTTTTCCTCGGCGGGGCCAACCCACGGCCGCGACCCGGTGGATGATGCGACACTCGACCCATTCCACTGCCCTCCAGCTTCCTCCACGTCGGCCCCGCCCCCGTCATCCTTTCTCGGCGAATTCACTTTCTCCCCCGACAGGCGCGCCGAGCGCCGAGTGATCGATGCCTCTTCCACGCCCCGACTGCCGCCATTTTGAGGGGGAGGAGAAATACCAGTAGAGGCGGCAGAGGCTCAACGGCATGGTGACTGGGCTTTGCCTCTCTTTCCAGCGTTGTGGGGCCAGGGCAGAAGACTCCGCTGGGACCCTTCTCCCTCTTGCCTCTTCGGAATGAGGCCTCAGCGCCAGCGCGGGACGGTCCCCGTTCTCCCCCGAGAGTGAGTGACGGCCCGCGGCGACCGTGCGCGCCCCCGCGCGTCCTCTGCTGTCAGTTGCCCCGCGCGCCCCCGCCGGCGCGCGCCCCCCGCCCGGCCCGGCGCTCGGCGCAGACTCGCTTGTTTGTTTCTGCAGGAGCCCAAGGAGAGGCCGAAGCCGAGACGATGCCCGGGAAGCTGAAGGTGAAAATCGTGGCCGGGCGCCATTTGCCAGTGATGGACCGTGCTAGTGACCTGACTGATGCCTTCGTGGAGGTTGGTGCAAGGTCCTGCCCCTTAGAGCCCAGGGTGCGCTAAACCTTGTGAAGGATCTGCCCCGGCTGGCTCCCAGCCCCTTAAACCCATGCCCCTTGCCCACCCGTCTGCCGCGCGTGTCCAGCTGCCCCTCGAGGGGTGACCGCCGAGACCTCAGCCCTCGTGATGGGTCCTGGCGCACAGGCGGCGCTGGAGGCCCCCACTGCCCGGGGTGCGCGGTGACCCTGGTGTCAGGACCCGCTGCAGGCCACCTGCCCGTCTGGAGGGGCCCGGGCGTGGCGGCGCGGCTCCCTGGGCGCACACTTGCCAGGCGGTCCTTGGGGAGGGCTGGCCCTCGGCGCCTGAGCGCTGGGCACCGTGTTGATGCAGGAGCCCCGCGGTGCGAGGGGATCCAGTCTGGAGCCAACCAACCTTTTTGAATCATCCGTGTGAGTTCCAAACACAGCTGTTAACACTTCCTGCTCTTGTAGGGACTAGCAGGTCTGATGAGCTCTTTCAGGATAATTTAGTGCCTTGAGGTAGGAAGTCAATTAAGTGCCGCGGATTTAAATTGCAAAATTGCTTTTTAAATCTAATGATTAGTTTAAAAGTCATGCAAATTAGCGCGGGCCTAGGGCCCAGAAAGTAATAACCCAGCGTGTGAAAGAAGCCTAGTAAAAATTGCAATAAAAAATCACCGTGATGAGCCTGAGCATTAGAGCCGTAATCGTTGGGGTGTTATTGCTTAGAGTTGGTAGAGGCATGACAGTCTGCAGCCTGATTGCATCTCAGAATTGTCTTCCTGTTCCCTAAAGGTTTTCTAACCTAATGACTGCAGTTCCCTGCCCCTCCGTTGTCATGGTAATTCCTAATGCCAGCTTCCTTTTCTTTTGAGGGTGTTGTTGGGCCAGATGGTAAGGAATGGGGCTAAGAGATGACCAGACCATGATATTTGTTTTCAGGTAGCCCAGAGACTGATCCATACAACTTATAGCTAGCATGTATTGAGTCTCATTATTGCCAGATTAGTGCTAAGTAGTTTTTAATTCTTAGTCCCCACAGCAGACTTAATTTGGGAAGGAGTTTTTTTTTTTTTTTCTAATGTCTGTTCATTTTTATTTATTTGAAAGGCAGAGTGACACAAAGAGAGAAAGATCTTCCATCCGTCACTGTCCAAGTGTCCCACGTAGGTGGCAGAAACTCAAGTAGAAGTACTTGAGCCGTCATTTGCTGACTCCCCGGTACATTAGCAGGAAGCTGGATTGGAAACAGAGTCCACACTCAATCCTAGGCTTCCTGATCTGGGATGTGGGAGTCCCAAGCAGTGTATTAATCACTGAGTCAAATACCTATCCAAATGGGTGTGCTTTTGACAGTTATGTATAAGGAAACTCCGTCACAGTGCTTTTATTTTTTATTTTTTTAAAAAAGGTGTGTTTGTTTGAAAGGCATAGTTAGATCTTCCCTTTGCTGGTTCACTCCCCAAGTGGCCACAGTGGCTGGGACTGGGCCAGAAGGAAGCCAGGAGCGTGGAGCTTCATCCTGGTCTCATGTGGGTGACAAGGGCCCAAGTACTTGGGACATCTGCTGCTTTCTCACATGTATTAGAAGGGAGTTGGATACTAAGTGGAAAAGCTGGAACTTAACGGGCATTCATATGGGATGCTAGAGTTGTAGGAGGTGGCTTAACTTACTGTGTCACAACACTGGACCCCATCACAGTCGTTTTATCTGTAGAACAGTTAGATTCTAGATGAGGTTCTTACCCGTGTGACTATCTGGTGGGACACTGGGGAGTCATGACATGGGATCAGTCTTCATAATTGGGGAGACCCCTTTGCATTGCAGGACGCCCAGCGTATCTGACCCTTCCTCATTAGCAGCTTCTGTGTCCCAATAACATAGACATTTCTAAAGCTCCTTTAGGATTTGGTTCTGTCACTTTTGCAAACCTCTCACTTTGGGAGAGAGAGAGGTAGGATGGATCCTTGGAAAAACTTGAAGAGGCCTTTTAAAAGAGGAAGACTAGCTGATGGAAGCACATTGTTAGCCAGTGGGAGCGCAAAATTGGGATGGTAATGTCTTAGAAGGCTAGAGAGGAAGTTTCTAGATGGCTGTGAAATGACTCTGAAAGGTCAAGTAAGACTGAGAAATCACTGTTAGACAGTATGGAGGCAGTTACTGCTTCTGGAAGAGACATAGTCATGGGGAAGCCAGTACTGTAGTGAAGTTGAGTGTAGGCAGTCGCTTCAGGAAAAACAGCTGAGGGGTGTGGGTGTCGTGGCACAGCTGGTTAAAATTATTTATTTGTAAAGCAGAGTGACAGAGGGAGAGTTGGAAGTATTCCATGTGCTGGTTCACTTGCTACATGGCTACCACAGCCAGATCTGAGCCATCCGGAAGCCAGGAGCCTGGCACTCCATCCAGGTCTCCCATGTGGGTGGCAGTGGCCTAGGTGCTTGGGCCATCACCTGCCTTCCCAGGCATATCAGCAGGAGGTTCGAGCAGAAGGGGAGCATCTGGGACTCAAAGCAGCAATCTGATTTGGGATGCTGGTGTGTCAGTTGCCTGCTTAAACCTGTTGGACCACAATGCCAGCCCCCACACCCCTCGCTCCAGCCACTCAGCTCCACCTGGGATCCAGCTTTCTGTTAATGAACATCCTGGGAGATAGCAGGTACTGGTTCAAGTCCTTGGGTCCTTGCTGTCCACTTGAGAGACTGGGAGGGAATTCCTGTCCCCTCACTTTGGCTTGGCCTAACCCTGGCTGTTGCAAACTTTGTTAAGTGACCCAATGGATGGAAGATAGTATCTCCTCTCTCTCTGCCTTTCAAATAAATATGTAAATCTTAAAAAAGACAAATAAGTACGGCTCTGTAAGGGAGAAGGAAAATGCTGTGGTGTTTGAGGAGCATACAGCTCTCAGTACTTTTCGCAAAATAAGCTACAAAACCCAATTGTGTGCTAATAGGAATAATCCAGCAGGAAGGGAAAAATGCACATAAAGGGATAATGAAGGATTTACAGTTTGATAAAGGGATAAATTGTGCAGTGTGAACTGTAAGTAATACAAGCTCACAGGAGCTGGAGGCTATGAAGCCTAGGCAAGTTACAAAAAATCTTTATGTTGTGTCCAGGAAAGTGGTGACATTTCCAAGGCATAGAGAAAAAGGAGCGTTTTCAGTTGAGTAGGACAAATTTCGTAAAAGCAGAAGGAACGATAGAGTTAGAAGGATTCGTGTTGACCAGAAGTTGGAAATCTGGCTAGGAAAAAGGAACAGAGACCCCTGAGTAGTTTGAGAATTAGGGGAAGAAGTCTGTACAATAGAAGCTTTCTTTGCCAACTTCCATTGACTGATTTATTTTAGTCTTTGGTGCTCTGCATTCCATCTCTAAAGCATATTCTTAAAAGCCCTTGTCAACAGAAAGACTTGTCAATAAAAAAGACTCTTAAAAGGTTAATGCAAGGCATTTGAGTGACCTAGGCCTGAGAGACACAAGCCCAGAGAACGTCCTGGAAAGTGTTCCAAAGTTATCAAATTCTATCTAGAATTTACGTATTCCATGACAGGAAATTTTGTTTTACCCTTACACATTGAACATATGGCTTGGCCCGAAAAGACCGGCTGGGGGTAGAGGGTAAATTGTATATTAGAACATGATTGCTTAGAACCATCATCTCTGAGGAAGCCACTACTGAAAAAGTGGCTACTGATTAATTTTAAAAACATTTCTGGGAATAGATAAGGAATGTATAGATGAGGATTGCGCAAGGTTACTCCAGATGAGCAAGATGAAAGAAATCCTGTGTGCACATCACCCAAGTCAGCTGACTTAGTGGAAAAGATTAATAGCTCAGGGGCTGGTGTTGTGCTGTAGCGGGTGGGCTGCCATCTGTGATGCTAGCATCCCATTAGGGTACCCATTTGAGTCCTGGCTGCTGCACTTCCAATCCATCTCTCTCTCTCTCCTCCTCTGGAACTCTGCCCTTCGCATAAATAAATAAATATCAGAAGGAAGATGAATAGCTCAGTGAGGACATTCCTCAGAGGGGAGTAGGTGTTCCTCTTGAATGCTCTACAGACTTTTTAGGGGCAGTGTCTTTGCACACCCATGTTACACCCATGCACCTGGAGTCTTTCTTCAGTTGGCTGACACACTTTACCAAGATGCAGTTGTATTTATAACCAGATCTGTTGATGGTTTTCATAATTGTTTGTAATTTATTTAAACCATATACTGTATAAATAGGTGAGATGAGTGTGAAAATTAATGCTAAGTAAAGACTTTTGGAAACAGTCACTAAAAATTACACTTGTGTTAGATGGAGGAAAGATAGTAAAAAAAATAGAATTTGTTTTAAAGATTTATTTATTTTATTTATGTGAAAGGCACCAGTACAGATAGAGGAGCAGAGAGAGCTTCCGAGAGCTTCCATCCACTGGCTCACTCCCTAAATGGCCACAGTGGCAAAGGCTGGGCCAGGCTGAAGCCAGGAGCACAGAGGTTCTTCTGTGTCTCCCATTTCGTTGCAGGAGCCCAAGCACTAGGGCCATCTTCAGCTGCTTTCCCAGGCACATTAGCAGGAAGCTGGATGGGAAATGGTATAGCCAGATCTTGAATTGGTACCTATATAAGATGTTGACATCGCAGGCGCTGAGCCGTAATGCCAGCCCCTAGGATTTCTTTCTTTCTTTCTTTCTCTCTTTCTTTCTTTCTTCCTTTCTTCCTTTCTTCCTTTCTTCCTTTCTTCCTTTCTTCCTTTCTTCCTTCCTTCCTTCCTTCCTTCCTTCCTTCCTTCCTTCCTTCCTTCCTTTCTTCCTTTCTTCCTTTCTTCCTTTCTTCCTTTCTTTCTTCCTTTCTTTCCAAGCAGTTTTAAATTCTGCCACCATATAAATCCAAGCTGGAAGTCATAGGTAATACATTATGTGTGTGGTTTAATGAACAAAGGATGATGTGGAACTCTGAACAACGTACCTGTACTCCAAGAAGAGCCCTTAAATTTACATTGAAAGATAGAAGAGTGAATATTTGTTGATACATTAGATGTTGAGATGTTTGCAGATTATATTATTTTAGTGATTCTCTAAGTTATTTGATTAACTGATTGAATACTGGCCCTGGTGGCATTGGTTGAGAGGGTTTCTACTGTGTAAGATAAGTTTATGGAACCAGGGAAATCAAGTGGTCCTTAAAGATGGCTGTTCTTGCAGGAGTCCTGGGATGAATAAGATGGGGTTCTGAAGCTCTCAATGTGCATGTTAAAATACTTTCTGCCAAACTACATTGTCATTTTGTGTTTATCTAGGAGCCTTTGAGGGAACAGGGAGAGGAAGCAAAATTAGCACTTAATGAGTATTTTTATGAACCAGACATTTTGTGGGGCCTCTACATGTATTAATTTATGTAATGCTCACAGCAATCCTGCTTCTCAGAGAAGGAAGCAAATTTAAATAACAGGTTAAATAACTTTCTCAGGGTAATTTAGTTAATGAGTGGGGAAAGAGAATGCTTACATTACTGGGGAATCTTCCATTAAAGTGCCTGATGTTTCTTAACAAAGTTGTAAGGTGTTCATTTAACCGATGAGTAATAAAGTTTCCTTTAAGTTAAAGAAGACCAAATAAACTGTGACTCTACTTGAAGGGAAAGCATCACACACAAGCCTTCTTTTTTCTGAAATCTTATTTATTGTTTGTTTAAATCATTTTGGGAACTGTCTGATCTTTTATATATCTAGAATGGCGGCAGTTGCCAAAAAAATAAAACCAAAACACAGCATGGTACAACTGCTGCATTGGGACAAAACTGAAGAAGTCTCTGAGCTCTTAACTTAGAACCTGATATGCTTTTGGGCCATTGAGTCAAAACCCTTAAGTATATTTGATTTTTGAAGAGTTTTGAAAATCCTAACATTTTATTTCAAATAAAGAAGTTTTAGTATTATTTACAAATTTATGATTTTTTTAAAAAAAGATTTATTTGAAAGGCAGAGTTAGAGGGAGGAGAAGACACAGAGAATCTTCTATCTTGCTGGTTCACTCTCCAAATAGCCACAATGGCCAGTGCTGGGCCAGGCCAAAGCCAGGAACCAGGAACTTCTTCCAAGTCTCCCACGTGGGTAGCAGGGGCCCAAACACTTAATAGAGAGGGAGAGAGAAAGAGAGAGAGAGATGTCTTCTATCTGCTGGTTCACTCCTTAAATGGCTGCAACAGCTAAGGCTGTGCCAGGCAAGCCAGGAGCTTCTTCTGGGTCTCCCACCTGAGTGGCAAGGGAGTCGGAGGTGTCTCAGGTGGTGGCTTAATCCTGTATGCCATAATACTGACCCCTATGTACTTTTTTTTTTTTTAATGTTTTCTACCCTTAAACTGCTTATGTTCCAGATGGTTGGTGCTGTGCCTGATAATACAAACTGAATTAGCTAAATGGTAAAATACTTAGAAAAATATACAGAAGAGAAAAATAATTTTACTTTTAAAAAGTGTCTTAGACTGACTGAACTGACCTCAGTGAGTGTTGTAATACCTGCCTGGGTGGACCAGCATTTACTAAGTATGTATAGCGTGCAGAACTATGCTGGCTGCGGTGAAAAAGAAGATAAGCTTGGCGGCACTTTGAAGCTAGGAAGGATGCTTGATGATGGTAATAGAACAAGGTTAAGACTTAGAAGAGGTCAAATTAAGAGACTGAGGCAAGTTATGAAACAGTCGCCTCCCTATTTTTTTCGTAAGTTTGCTTCCTGACCACTTCTTAGATCTGGTCTTAGGTTTCACAGTCTCCATTCTTTGTTGGAAGCGAATCCCAGGGATTTAGTTTGCTTTCTTTCCTTCATTTCTTTTTGATTACATGTTTTTGGATCTTCCCGATTTTGTGCTTGCCAAGATAGGCTGTGAATTAAGATAGTCTTTTCACCTAACCCCTTTTATTGTCCCTGAAGCTGGGAACATAAAACGTAATCGTTTATTGCTTGTTGCTGTACACAGACAAGAGAATGAAAAAACAACAGGTAATGGGGAAATTACCAGGAAATATTGTTAAGTTCTTGTAATAATGGGTGTAGTTCTAGATTTTCTTGTTTAGATAGCTAAGGGGAAAGTGAGCTGATCTTTACCTTGTGATTTTCAGTTTTGCTGCTCCTCCCTTCTTTAGATTTCCCTCAGTGGCACAGCAAAAGGTTCTTGGGGCCAGCATTGTGGCTTGGCAGATAAAGCTGCCACCTGCCATGCCGGCATTCCATATGGGTGCTGGTTTGTTTCCTGGCTGCTTCACTTCTGGTTCACCTCCCTGCTAATGGCCTGGGAAAAGCAGCAGCAGATGAGCCAAGTGCTTGGGCCCCTTCCACCCACGTGGGAAACCTGGATGAAGCTTCTAGCTTCAGACTGACCCAGCTTTGGTTTTACCAGTGGATGGAAGATCGCTTTCTCTCTCTCTCTGCCTTTGAATAAATAAATCTTTTTTTTTTAATTTTAATTTTTTTATTTATTTGACAGCTATAGTTAGTGAGAGAGAGAGAGAGAAAGGTCTTCCTTCCGTTGGCTCACCCCCAAATGGCCGCTACGGCCAGAGCTACGCCGATCCAAAACTAGGAACCAGGTGCTTCTTCCTGGTCTCCCACGCAGGTGCAGGGGCCCAAGCACTTGGACCATCCTCTACTGCCTTCTCGGGCCACAGCAGGGAGCTGGACTGGAAGAGGAGCAACTAGGACAGGAACCCGGCGCCCATATGGGATGCCGGTGCCACAGGCAGAGGATTAACCAAGTGAGCCACAGTGCCGGCCCCAGTAAATCTTTTTTTTTTTTTTTGACAGGCAGAGTGGACAGTGAGAGAGACAGAGAGAAAGGTCTTCCTTTGCCGTTGGTTCACCCTCCAATGGCCGCTGCGGTCGGCGCACCGCACTGATCCGAAGCCAGGAGCCAGGTGCTTCTCCTGGTCTCCCATGGGGTGCAGGGCCCAAGGACTTGGGCCATCCTCCACTGCACTACCTGGCCACAGCAGAGAGCTGTCCTGGAAGAGGGGCAACCGGGACAGAATGCGGCGCCCCGACTGGGACTAGAACCCGGTGTGCCGGCGCTGCAAGGCGGACGATTAGCCTAGTGAGCCTCCGTGCCGGCTCTCCCAATAAATCTTAAAAAAAAAAAAAACACAAGATTTCCCTCTTTTGTCTGAGCTCATGTTTAGTGGCTGTACTTGTACTGACTTTTCCCATCTAAGTTGGCATCATGATCTATGGTTTTCTTTTTCCCAGGGAACTAGTCAAGCAGAAAAGGGGTAATTTTTGTACCAGGTGTGTTCCCCAGGCGTACGTGGACTGGTCTGTACCTTTTTCTTTTTGTCACAGAGGACAGCTGTCTTTCTTTTTTGTTATGGTTAACTTGGCTGACATTAAAATTTACTTTTATTTACATTTTAAATATTTGTTTTTAGGTAAAGTTTGGTAATACCACCTTTAAGACAGATGTGTACCTCAAGTCACTCAACCCCCAGTGGAATTCAGAATGGTTTAAATTTGAGGTAAGTTTATAAAAATCAGTACTTTTGAGTATATTTTTTAGAAGTAATTCTTTTTCCAGAATGGTAGCAATACTTTTTAATTCAGGTATGCTAATTTTTCTGTACCATAAAAATATTTGTTTAATTAAAAATCCTGTTTTCATTTTAAATAATTTATTTGAAAGGTAGATAAAGACATAGACATCTGCTTGTTCATTCCCCAGAACAGCCCAGGTTGGCCAGGCCAAAGCCAGGAGCTTAAAACTCAGTCTGGTCTCCCATGCGGGTGGCAGGTACCCAACCACTTGAGGCATTCTCTGCTGCCTCCCAGTATGAACTAGCAGGAAGCTGGAATTGGAAGTAGAGCAGGGCTTGAACCCAGGTGCTCTCATATGGGAGGTGGGCATCTCAAGTGGCTTTTTTTTTTTTTTTTTTTTTTTTTGAGAGGTAAAGTTACAGACAGGGAGAGAGACAGAGAGAAAGGTCTTTCATCCACTAGTTCATTCCCCAGATGGCCGCAGTGGCCTGAGCTGTGCCAATCTGAAGCCAGGAGACAGGAGCTTCTTCTGGTTCTCCCATGTGGGTGCCGAGACCCAAGCAAGTGGGCCATGTCCCACTGTCTTCCTAGGCCATAAACAGAGAGCTGAATCAGAAGAACAGCTGGGGGCTGGCACTGTGGTGCAGCGAGTTAACACACTGGCCTGAAGCACCAGCATCCCATATGGGCGCTGGTTCGAGTCCTGGCTGCTCCTCTTCTGATCCAGCTCTCTGTGGTGGCCTGGGATAGCAGTGGAGGATGACCCAAGTCCTTGGGCCCCTGCACCCGCATGTGAGACCCGGAAGAGGCTCCTGGCTCCTGGCTTCGGATCATCGCAGCTCCGGCCATTGTGGCCAATGGGGGAATGAGCCATTGGGTGGAAGACCTCTCTCTCTGCCTCTCCTCTCTCTGACTTTCAAATAAATAAATAAATCTTTAAAAAAAAGAAGTAGAGCAGCTGAGACAAACCAGTGCCCATGTGGGAAGCTGGTGCCATAGTTGGAAGCTTAGCCTACTATACCAGAGCACCTGCCCCCCAAGTGACATCTTAACAGCTGTGCCAAACACCAACCCTGGAATATTGAGCTTATAAAAATTATATTACAGTTAAGAAAATACAGCATATGATAACAGGTTTCAAAAAGAGGTCCTTAACATATATTATGTTACTGTTATTGTAGTTTTGTCTAGAATTTAGCGTATACCAGAATCACTAAAGAACAATGCACAGATTTAGAAAAAACTTTAGATCGTGGCAAAACTATGTATCTCTAAAATATTGCTAAATTTTTAAATAAGCATTTTCTTTTTTTTTTTTAAGGATTTAAATAAGCATTTTCAAGTACACAGTTGTGTATCATTAATTACAGTGACAGTGTGGTGTGACCATTAACCACTGTTTCCAGAACATTTTCATTAACCTGCGTGGGAGCTCTGTATCCACTGATCAGTAACTCCACTTTCCTTCCGTCTTTCCTCTGGGCTGTGGTAACCTTCAGTCTGCTGTCTCTTTGAATTTGTTCATGCTAGATATTTCATATGAACAGAATCAGAATTGCAGCAGGGGCTAGGCTGAGGTCAGGAGCCAGGAACACTCTCCCTGTTTCCACATGGGTGGCAGGTTCCAAGTTCTTGGGCAGCTTCTGCTGCCTTCCCAGGTGCACTAGCCATAAGCTGGATTAGAATTGGCGCTCCATTATAGGATGTCAGCATTGTGAGACTGCTCACAGGCTCAACCTGTGCCAAAAAACCAGTCTTCACATTTTTATTTTTTAATTGCTTTATTTATCTTTTGTTGTTGAGGTTTTAAAAAAAAATATTTATTTATTTGAAAGGCAGAGTGACAGAGAGAGACAGGCTGACAGACATATCTTCATTTGCTAGTTCATTCTGCAAATACCCACAACAGCTGGTGTAGCCAAAGTGAAAGCCAAGAGCCAGCAACTCCAGGTGTCCTTTGTGTGTGGCAGAGACTCAAGTACTTGAACCATCATCTGCTGCTTCCCAGGTCCATTAGCTGGGAGTTCAGTTGGAAGCATGGAGTAACTGGGACTCAGATTGGCACTCTGATATGGGATGCAGCCATCTCTAGCATTGGCTTAACCCACTGTGCCACAGTGCCAACCCCAAGTTGTAGTTCTTCTGTATTCTGAATATTTTTTAAAGCTTTATTTATTTACTTGAAAGCAGAGTTAGAGGCAGAGGCAGGGAGAGAAAGAGAGAGAGAGAGTTCCATCATCTGGTTCACTCCCAAGATGGCCACCATGTCCGGAGCTAAAACCAGTCCAAACCTAGGTGCCTGGAGCTTCTTCTGGGTCTCCCACACAGGTGCAGGGGCCCAAGGACTTGGGCCATTTTCTACTGCTTTCCCAGGCCATAGCAGAGAGCTGGATGGGAAGAGGAGCAGCCGGGACTAGAACCGGCGCCCATATGGAATACTGGGGCTTCAGGTCAGGGCTTTAACCCACTGCGCCACAGTGCCGGCCCCAAACGGCCTTGTCTTGTTCTCTGTTCTGTTTGGCACAGTGCTTGGCACATGATGAGGACTTGATAATGAGTGAATCAAGGAAGAGAAGATAGACTTTTACCTCATAAACTTAATTCATGTATTTACGCTGCTTTTTTCATTTTACACATAGTTAATTTTGCTTACGATTTTATTCTGAAATTGTCCTTAGAAATTATGGTTTCATTATATTCGTTAGCATATTTTTTTCTCTGTAAAGAAGATATGGACTCTGTTGTGGTGTTCCTTAAGCATTGTTGCTATATATCACAGTCGTAAGACACAGATAATACGTCAGAAATGGAGTTGAGAACTTTTTTTGTGTTAATCATTCTAATTTTATGCTTGGAGGAAAACTATATTTTTTTCCCTCAGAAAAATGTCATCTTCTTAAATAGAAAAGGGAGTTACAACTTTTTTTTAATGTGTATTAATTCCTCTACCTTTGTGCTTAGAGATAGATCTAAGATTTGTTTTCAGAAACATCTTCATTTTCATTGGGTTTAAGTATACATGTGTGATAATTAAGAATTAAAAACTATCAGATTTAATTTTTAGGTGTACTTTTAGGTGGATGATGAAGACCTACAAGACGAGCCTCTGCAGATCACAGTGCTCGACCACGACACGTACAGTGCCAATGACGCCATTGGCAAAGTGTACATCGACATCGACCCTTTACTGTACAGTGAAGCTGCCACAGTCATCTCGGGATGGTTTCCCATTTACGACACTATACATGGTAAGAAGTGTTTTAGGAGAGGAAGTCATAGTGTCAATCTTTATTATTTCTCTTTGAAGACATTTGTGCTATAGTTGGTAGTTTTGAAATATGTATCTTTAAAAGTTGGCTTAAAATTTTTTCTTTTAAAGATTTATTTTGTTTGAAAGGCAGAGTGATGGAGAGAGGGAGACACAGAGAGAAATCTCCCATCTGTAGGCTAACTCAAATTATGATAGTCAGGGCTGGGACAGGCCAAAACCAGGAGTCAGGAACTTCATCTGGGTCTCCCTCGTGGGTTGCAGGGCCCAAGTACTTGGACCATGTTCCACTTCTTGCATGGGCGCATTAGCAAGCAAGGAACTGAGTTGGAAGCAGAGGAGCTGGGACTCGAACTGGTGCTCCAGTATGGGATGCTGGTTTCATGGGTGGTGTCTTAAGCTGCTATGTTGTACTCCTGGCCCCAGGATGCCTCTTTAAAAATACACAAGTAGTAGTAAAGTATTGTTGGCGTGATTGTTACTTGTCTGCACGTCATTTGAAATAATACCTGCTAAATGTGTACAATGCAGTAATTTAAAATCATCTAGTATTAGTTCTCTGTAATTTCTAAAACACATTCAGTCTGATGTTACTGGTTTTTTTCTGTTTAAAAATTCTTCAGAGACTGTCTGTTGCCGGAAGCATGAGTTCTGCATATGTGGTAACAGTCAAGCTCCCTGGGCAGCTTTCCCAGGGTTTGTGAGTTGAGAACTGTTTTTAGCACAATATTCATGTGTCATTCCCTATTTTTATTCTCCTAAGTATATGGTGGAGTTCTCTGGAAATTTTCTGATACACGCATGTGATATTACTGCACATTGAATATGGAGCAGAAGTAGGAATCTATTTCATTAACAATACTCAGATTTGAAAACATGTAACAGTGCACTCTTGTCACTAATTTTTTGTTTTGAAAATGAAATTATTTTAAGAAATTGCATATGTTAACTTAGTTGTTATGACTTTAGAAGACATGGGAAGTAATTTTTTACAATTCCCAGTTTTAATTTTTAATATGGCAAGTATTGATATGACCTACATAAACAAAACCTCTTTGAGGTCCTCAGTCATTTTCTTTTTAATATTTATTTGTTTATTTAAAAGAAAGAGCTAAAGAGAGAGAAGGAGAGACAGATCTTCCTCTACTGGCTGACTCAAATGTCTGCAGCAGCTGGTCTGGGCCAGGCCAAAGCCAGAAGCCAGGAGCTCAACTCTGGTCTCCCACGTGGGTAGCAGCAGTCCAAGCAGGTACTTGGACGATCATCCCCTGCCTTCCCAGAGGTGTTAGCAGGGAGCCGCGTTGGAAGCAGAGCAGCTAAGACTCAAACTGGCTCTCTGATATGGGATGCAGGCATCTCAAGCAGCAGCTTAGCCTGTTGCGTTATAACACTGGCCCCTCCTCAGCCATTTTTAGGATTGTAAAGGGATCCTGCAAACAAAAATCTGAGAATTGCTAGACTAAACATATAATATGTCTTTAAAATGGTGAAGGGACCTATTCAGAACTGGTGCTTCTCTTTCTAGCCTTGTATCTTTATGTCATTTTTTACGTTTTTTGGGCTGGCAACTCCATTGATAGTAGTTTATTGTAAGAAAATAATTTGTTGGCCGGTGCCATGGCTCACTAATCCTCCACCTGTGACGCCAGCACCCCGGGTTCTAGTCCTGGTTGGGGCGCTGGGTACTAGTCCCAGTTGCTCCTCTTCCAGTCCAGCTCTCTGCTGTGGCTGGGGAGGGCAGTGGAGGATGGCCCAAGTGCTTGGGCCCTGCACCCGCATGGGAGACCAGGAGGAAATACCCGGCTCCTGGCTTCGGATTGGCACAGCACCGGCCGTAGCAGCCATTAGGGGAGTGAACCAATGGAAGGAAGACCTTTCTCTCTATCTCTCTCTCACTGTCTATAACTCTCTCTCTGTCTCTAGTTCTGCCTGGCAAAAAAAAAAAAAAAAAAAAAAATTTGCTGACAGTCACATATGTTTAATGTCATTTATGTTCCATTACTTACTAATGATTAAAATGGCAAAATAGGGTGAAAATCAGGATTTACTTAAATTAGACATATGTAGACCTTAGTTATGCAGAAGAGAAAAATGTTTTCAGAAAACAGTATCATTGGGAAATGTGTATGATTTGTTATGAAGTACAAAGATCAGATTATAGAACATTATACTTTACCCCAAATTTGTTTAGAAACTAAAACATTGCATATATGCAGTATCACTAGAGAAATTGACAAAGCATATGATAAATTTTTTTGTCCTTTTTTGTTTTTTCACTTTTTTCTACAGTGTATGTGTTTTACCTTTGTAATCAGGAAATAACAATCAGCTAAATGTTATGTTACCAGTTAAAAAATAGATGCTGAGGGAGCAGACAGTACTGTAGCACAGCAGATTAAGTTGTCCCTTGGGAAATCTGCAATCCATATTGGAATGCCTGGATCAAGTCCTGCTATTCTGCGTGTGTTCCAGCTTCCTGCTAATGTACCCTGAGAGCAGCAGGTGGTAGTTTGAGTATTTGGTTCCTGCTACCCACATGGGAGACCTGGATTGAATTCTGGCTCCTGTTTCAGCCTTGGCTGGCCCTGACTGTTGTAGTCATTTGGACAGTGAACCAATAGATGAGAGGTGTCTCTACCTTTCAAATAAAAATGAAAATAAATAAAATAGATTAAGAAAAAAACATTCTGAAGAAGTAGTCTGGGCTTGAATTAAGGCAATACCTATAATAAATGAGTGAATTTTCTGAACATTTTGTATTAAATATTGTTTTTAGTTGATTCAGTGTTTATGGACCTTTTGTTAGTAACATAATCTTACTATTTCAGTAGTGAAATTAGTAGGTGCTTTTCTTGGACAGTTTCACTGTAAGTATCAAATTGATGTGAAATCAGGATAGTCTAGTAAAAATACCTAGTGATTGTTTAGAGGTAAGTTCTAATCATTTTTATATATTTGGGCATGTTCTGAAAACCCTTATTTTTAGTTAGCTTATTTTAATTTATATTCATTGAAAAGAATAAAACTTATTTTGTGTTAAATCAGATTCTTGCACAGTTAAGATTATATGTGCTGGGTTAGGGGTCAGCAGTGTGGTGCAGCAGATTAAGCTGTTGCCAGGGATGCCAGCATCCCACATGGCACTGATTGGATTCCCCGCTGCTCCACTACCAGTCCAGCTGATGTGCCTAGGAAAGCAGGGGAAGACAGCCCAAGTCCCTGGGCCCCTGCCACCCACATGGGAGACCTGGAGGAAGCTCTTGCTTTAGCCTGGCCCAGCCCTGGCCATTGCAGCTATTTGGAGAGTGAACCAATGGATGGAAAATTTATCTCTCTCTCTTTTTCCCTTTGTAACTTTGACTTTCAAATAAATAAATAAGTCTTTTTTTTTTTTTTTTTTTTTTTTTTTTTTTTTTTGACAGAGTGGATAGTGAGAGAGAGAGACAGAGAGAAAGGTCTTCCTTTTGCTGTTGGTTCACCCTCCCATGGCCGCCACGGCCAGCGTGCTGCAGCCGGTGCACCACACTGATCTGAAGGCAGGAGCCAGGTGCTTCTGGTCTCCCATGGGGTGCAGGGCCCAAGCACTTGGGCCATCCTCCACTGCCTTCCTGGGCCACAGCAGAGAGCTGGCGTGGAAGAGGGGCAACCAGGACAGAATCCGGCGCCCCGACTGGAACTAGAACCCAGTGTGCCGGCGCTGCTAGGTGGAGGATTAGCCTATTGAGCTGCGGCGCCAGCCAATAAATAAGTCTTAACAACAAAAGTGTATGTGTTGGGGTCATGAAAATCTAACCTTCAATCCTGCCTTTGCTACTTAAAGCTATTATTAATTAAATGTTTCCACTGTAAATTGAGGTTGACAGTAGTACGTTTTTGTGTTAATGTGAGGACTGTGGAATACTGTATGTAAAGCATTTAGGGCATCTTCTGTCACTGCTGTTGCCGCCACTATGAGATTTATCATCATCCTCATCTTTGAAATGGAACTCCATTCTGGTTAGTCTTGGTTCAGATAAGTGATGACTTGTGGCAGAAATGCAGATTATTCATTCTCTAATGCATACATGTTCTACTTCAGAAAATAGAAGAATGTAGTGAGTATGAAAATAATTAAGAAACAAAGCTAGCTTTACTGATTGATAAATTATATAAATTATTTAAAAATCATTGATTGACACTTATTTGTTTGCTTACTTACATGTTATTTTCTGAGGCAGAAACTTGATTTTCTTTTTGCAATTATAGGTATCCGTGGGGAAATCAATGTAGTTGTCAAAGTAGATCTCTTCAATGATTTAAATCGCTTTAGACAGTCATCATGTGGAGTCAAATTCTTTTGCAGTAAGTAAATAAGTTGTATTCACTTAACATTAATATTCTTAAATATGGGAAACAAATGAATATTTCAGAGGGTTAATAAAAAGGGTGGTTTTTGTTGGTTTTAATGCCAAATAAAATTGTTGATTTTCCAGAAACAGTTATTGTGTTTGAGAATAAATGGTATCTAATGTTTTTGAGTTTATAGAGCTCAATAGCCAAGCACTGGTGCTGCCCCACATTACACATGCTTCTATAGGCATGGAATCATTAGAACTCTGAAGTACAGGGTCTGAATTGGGCAGATCTGGGCGACACATAACCAGCCAGTACAGGTAGGGTTCATATAAAGTAGCTGAGTTAGTGTTAGTATACAAGCATCTGTTTTAATTAAATGACTCTGCTGCATAGTGTGTTCACTACTGAATCAGTTGGCCATTTGGGCATGGATTATTAGGGACTGTAGCTCTGTGTGACTCCTCAAATTATGTTAGGAAGATAAAGCTGTGATGTTTGAGGCTGCAGTATGCAGCATACAGAAGAAATTTTCTTGAGAGCTTTGTATAATTAAAGAACTTTAAGATTTATTATCTGCTTTGTACCTGTTTATAAAATAATCAGCTGATGTTCTGATTTTTTAAACTGTATTGAATATCATTTAAGATAGTCTGTAGTTATTTTTCAAATTATTTAAGTCCAATTTATATTTACTGTGCTAATGTGAAAAAGATGATGAAAGAAAATGACTTTTTTGTAAGAATAAAAGACCTCACATGACTATGTAATTGAAAGTACTAGTATTATAATTATATTGAGATTGTCATAGTAGAAGTAGTCTTGTGTTATCTATCCAAAAGTTGAGAATGTACATACGCATTTTTTTAAAAATTGGATTTTACGTTGCAGTAAATAAGGCATAACAGATAATTTGTTTTAACAGCAACATCTATTCCAAAGTGCTATAGAGCTGTGATAATTCATGGATTTGTAGAAGAACTTGTTGTCAATGAAGACCCAGAGTATCAGTGGATTGATCGAATTCGCACACCAAGGGCATCAAATGAGGCCAGACAGAGACTCATTTCTTTAATGTCAGGTATTTAAAAACAACAAAAACAAAATAAACTTTAGTACTGACTGATGTAATGCTCCTAAAATTTTCACTTTCCTCTGACATGCTACAAAATTTTACAGCAAGGGCTTTGATTGTGAATGTTTCCTTGCCCCTGACCCCATCTTCCAGAACACAGGTGCATTGCCCTCTTGTAAGAAGTGGAAATCCGAATCACCAGGCTATAGTTCCTTCCTAACCAGGTAGCAGAGAGAAATTGTGTTATGTCCATTAAGTGGGACAGTGGGAAGAGCCTTGAGTGAGAAGGTTCAGGAAGGAGCCCTGAGCAGGAAACTGGAGTCTAGTTTTCCTCCCCATAATATGTTTTGTTTTTTTTTTTTTTTTGACAGAGTGGACAGTGAGAGAGAAAGAGACAGAGAGAAAGGTCTTCTTTTTGCCATTGGTTCACCCTCCAATGGCTGCCGTGGCCGGTGCACTGCGGCCAGCGCATCGCGCTGATCCGAAGCCAAGAGCTAGGTGCTTCTCCTGGTCTCCCATGCAGGTGCAGGGCCCAAGGACTTGGCCCATCCTCCACTGCCTTCCCGGGCCACAGCAGAGAGCTGGCCTGGAAGAGGGGCAACCGGGACAGAATCCGGCACCCCTACCGGGACTAGAACCCGGTGTGCCTATTGAGAAACGGCGCCGGCCCCATAATATGTATTTATAGTCTGAGCTTAGACGGATCATCTGCCTCTCTTCCTGATTGTGTTCAAATGCTTTCTTCTCCCAGTCCTTTCCTGAGAACTCACTGTAGCTCCCTCTACTCCTCCTGTCAGTTTCCTTGCCAATCTTACCCTATTACCTTTCTTTGTTTTTCTTTTAAGAACTCCTATACCACCTAAACTTTATAATTATTTGTATATGAGTAATTGTATATAATTATTTGTATATGAGTAATTGTATGATATATATGTATATACTCAAGGATACATATACACAAGTATAAATGTTACATTTATATTTAATATAGTATTTGTATTCTGCGTATTTCTGCTTATATACTTATAAATATAATTGTGTCTATTAGAATTGTTTTTATATTCATATTTTTATTATTTAATATACTGTATAATATTTGTTTACATATGTAACTTTTGGTTTATCCCACAAATATGTAAACCCCACTAGATTGGGAGCTTTATCTTTCCTGTTCACCCCTGTGTCTCTACTACGTAATAGAAAGGAGGAATGTCAGCACATAGTACAGAATCCAGAACAGTTTTGTAAATGAATGCATGAATGAATGACCCTTACTCGCACATCAGTAAAATGCAGCTAATGATATCTTACCTCTCTGAAAGTCAGTGGCTGGACCAAATAATCATTTGTTTCCTACAAATGCTAAAAATTTGATTGTTTAAAAAATATTTCTGACAGGCAGAGTTAGTGAGAGAGAGAGAAAGGTCTTTCTTTTTCCGTTGGTTCACCCCCCAAGTGGCTACCACGGCTGGCACGCTGCACCGATCCGAAGCCAGGAGCCAGGTGCTTCCTCCTGGTCTCCCATGCGGGTGCAGGGCCCAAGCACTTGGGCCATCCTCCACTGCCCTCCCCAGCCACAGCAGAGAGCTGGACTGGAAGAGGAGCAACCGGGACAGAATCCGGCGCCCCGACCGGGACTAGAACCTGGGGTGCTGGCGCTGCAGGTGGAGGATAAGCCTAGTGAGCCGCGGCGCTGGCCCAAAAGATTTATTTGTTTATTCACAAGGCAGAGTTACAGAGAGGCAAAGGCAGAGGCAGAGAGAGAGAGAGAGAGGTCTTCCATCTACTGGTTCACTCCCCCAAATGGCCGCAATGGCCAGAGATGATCCGATCTGAAGCCAGGAGCCTGGAGCTTCTTCTGGGTCTCTGACATAGGTGCAGGGGTCCAAGGACTTGGGCCATCTTCTGTTACTTTCCCAGGCACATTAGCAGGGAGCTAGATCAGAAGTGGAGCAGCCAGGACTCAAACCAGCTCCTGCCAGGGATGCTGGCACCTTAGGCAGCTTTACCTGCTACACCACAGCGCAGACCCCAATCTGTGTTTTTTCTTTTTTTTTTTTTTTTTTTTTTGACCCGTTTTCTGTTACTGTCATAGCAGTTAATTGTGTGCAGTGTAGAGATAGGAAGCAAGAATGAGTTTTTTTTCCCTTTTTTCAGGTGAATTACAAAGGAAGATTGGTTTGAAAGTCCTTGAAATGAGAGGAAATGCGGTGGTTGGGTACTTACAGTGTTTTGATCTGGAGGGCGAGTCTGGGTTAGTGGTGCGAGCCATAGGAACAGCGTGCACTCTGGATAAATTAAGTAGCCCAGCAGCATTCCTTCCTGCATGTAATTCCCCATCCAAAGAAATGAAGGAGTAAGTATGAATCAGGAGATTGTTCTTATGGAGATTTTTATCTTTCACTTAGACATTTTCATTTGATTTGAAACATTTTATTAGCATTGCTCAAAATACATTTTTTCCTATCATGATTTTTCTTAGATAATTTCCAGAATTTTAGAATGTTTGTTATTCCTGATATTTTATTTGTGCTTCCTTCATGTGAAACTCAAACAATATAAAATTAAGTTATTACAAATTTTTAGATACTGTATTTTTAAGGCATAAAATGATTTTCCTGCATTGGGTGGAATTTTACTTGTTTTCTAAGGAATACATACCACCCCCATGTTAATCCAATTATACTTACTATTGACACACAAGCAGGAAAGACTGAGTTGTGCAAGAGTCTGAAACTCATATGTCTACAGAGGCCCTGCAGTTTATGCAAGTTAGATTTGAAACATTTCTGGTCCTAAACATTTTGGATAAGTGCTTTTCAACATGGAGTGTTTGAAATAAGATTTTTTTTTCAACATGGAGAGATTTTTTTCAACATGGAGTGATTTTTCTGTCATAATGACTGGAGGCAGCAAAAGATTCTATTGGGACTAGAAATGCTGATAGTCCTACACAGCAAAGGACAGCCCTATACAGTAAAGTCTTACTCTGTCCTGAATGCCAATAGTACTTCATTGAGAACCATTGATCTGCAGATTTTTCTAGATCGAGTTGACAGACTTTTTCTGTAAGTCGCTAGATGGTCTAAATAATTGAATTTTTCCTGATGCCATGATATAATTCTGCCATTATAGTGTGATCTCAGCCATGGACACCATAAGGGTGTTTGTATGAGGCACTTTTATGCAAGGAGGCTAATAGAGTTAGAACTCTAAGAGTATGTTTGAGTGATGCTCTCATCTGAATTTTCATGTTATGTTGTAATTTGAACATTTCACAGTGTTCATTTTATTTTACCACTATTAAGGTGTGTTCCAGTTTGTAACTTTTTCTTTTAGATGTTTAATGTAACAAGATATAAATCTTTTTGGTACTTCCAGATGAATTCTCTTGGTAGTATAAAGTGTTTTCAGTATGATTTATTGTTTCCCTGCTTAAGAAAAAGTCCTTTTCAATACACTTTAATCAGATTCCTCGTGTGCACAGCACTGATTGTTAGACTTTATAAGTCTGAGAATTCTTAGCCTTTTTCTCATTTCAGCAGAGACATGCAAAATGAAAAACTTTTGGTTGGATAACAGTAGATCACCAGTTTGATTGTTACCAAATTTTAAATTTATATTAGCAACAAAATCAGAACCATTTGTCATATTATAAAATCAGTGCTATTTTTGGGAAGTCGTCTTTGGACCCTAGGGAAAGCCATCTGGCTAATTCATGATAGCTCACATTTGAATCATGATAAATTGTGATTGGTAGAACTGTTCCCTAGGCCATCAGTAGTCTAGCAGTGAGAGAGAGAAGGTCAGGAAAAGTGGGCCTGCCTTCAATTTCACTTCTAAAACAATGAAGATATGATGGTGTACTTTATACGATTGCTTCCTCCCAGTATACACAAACAGAGGCTTTCTGTGGTGAAATAATTGCTAATACGAAGTCCAGCGCTTTTACATAATATTACCTTCTTTACCCTATTCAGTGAACCCTTTCAGCCAAATTCCTTCTGGAAAATTTTTAAGTGTTATATGTGAATGTGTATTTGTGTATCTGATCTCAGTATTTTATATACTCAGATGGGGTCTGTTGAAAGATATAAGTAGGTTTCTTAACCAAATTTCAGTTGAGAATGTAGTTCATATAATATACTGTATATGGGAACTAGACAAATTTACATGGCTTTAATAATGTATTTAGAACCAGCATGCTTCTGCTTTGTTTTGTTTCCACTGCAGCCTGGTTTTAAGCTGTGTGTTTCATGTGTTGAAATACTGAAATGTATATATTTGTTTATATCATTCAGTTCCCTCATTTTTCTTGATGCTGTCATTTTTCATATTCTTAAGTATCCCTATCTTAAGATACCAGACACAGTTATTAAACTTCATTTATAGAGAACTGTAATTAACTGTATTAGCGATTCATCTCAGTTTTAAAGATAATATGAGATTATATTTGACTTTTCACTTATTTAGGTGTTCCTCCCCCAATAAAACTGTGTATAAGTTAAATTCTGCTGTCATGAAAATAGTAGCAAATACGTTAAAACATTTTAAAATCCAAATCTTAGTATTTTTTTATCTAATTTAACTCTTTTGCTTGCTACTTTTCTAATTCATAGTCCTAATTTATTAACTCAATCCTTTCAAACTATAACTATATCCTAACAAATTAGTATTTAGATATTCTTTTTTAACTTCAACTAGTATTTTGCATGCTGTGGCTTAAAAAATAAGTTTTCTCCCCCAACTAAAGCTCCTTCGAAATTATTTTAACATAACTTTGCAATCTGTTGTATGTATTGTTTTCTTTTCTTCCACTTTGACCACAAATTCCCCAGGTCTCCGCTGGTTCATCCTCCAAGCCATGGATGCCGCTCGACTCACAACAGCCCAATTCACACTGCTACTGGCTCACGACTTACTCAGAACTTCTCTGTGTCTGTTCCCACTCTCATCTATACTGGTACGAGACTGCTCAGACTCCAGAGCTGGGGAGAGGCAGGCAGGCAGGTAGTGTAGGCAGGTACCATGAATCTTTGCTTCCTCCCTTTCTTACTCCAAGTCCAGCAGCAATGAAGAACTTCCATTTTTTAGCCACCATACAGGCTGTCACTAGATGGAAGTGCAAGTGTTCTTCCCGCTTCCAAAGTCTCTTCCACAGATCTTGTGAGACTCCTCTGCTGTGTATGTATACTGTGAATGTTGAGGGGAATCTTCCAGTGTGTATTTTTGTATTTGTTCAGAAATCAAATTGAAGAGATTCTGAATGAAATCGCTTCCAAAGCTTCTATTTGCTAATTTTCTTTATGTACAAAACTGGATACAGTAGGGTCTGTTTGATTCTGTGGAAGAGAGCTTTTGGACAACAGGTAAGCAACAAGTCTGCATTAAATGCAGGGGTTCATTTTCCTCTCTGCTGTGTTTTTAGCTGTGGCACTCTTGATGCTGTGGGATAAGGAAACATGTTTTTTTTCTTTTGAAGATACCTGTGTGTGCAAATATAAGAACAATTACAAATATTTGCACACACCAGTTGAAGCCATCATTTTTTCTTTTGTAATTTAAAAAAGCATTGTTGATTTGAAAATATTTTGTCATATTTTTATTTGGTTTATTTCTCTTTTTAATAATTTTTACCCCCTTAGTCCATCATTTCATGCTTTTTTGCTTTTTCCCTTGGCTTATTAACTGTTTCAATGCAGATAATATTTATCTGGAGATGATGAGTGGTTAAACAGCAATCGGTTGTCTTTGGCCTCCTTCCCAGCTCCACACTTAAGAAATGACTGCTGGCCCTGCCCCAATACTTTCCTGGTGTTTGGATCATGCTGCCAACCGCCAAGCCCTCTGGCACATGACTGCTTAATATTTCTCCACCTTCTTCTGGCAGGATTCCCTTCAATGAAGATCCCAATCCCAATACTCACTCATCAGGACCCTCAACCCCTCTGAAAAACCAAACTTATTCCTTTTCACCTTCCAAGTCCTACAGTCGACAGTCCTCTTCTTCTGACACAGATTTGAGTTTGACACCCAAAACTGGTAAGGCACTTCCACCCGCCTTTTGTTCTTTTTTTTTTTTTTTTTTTTAGAATTTGTTTCTATTTCTTAACTAGGTTTCCATCTAAATCTTTCCTCCTGTTTTTGGCAGTTAAATTAAAAGATAATGTGAATACTAGTTATTTTCAGTTACTACCAATAAAATATGGAACTCTTGGGTAGCTCAAAAACTATCTTGTTTGGAGAGCTACATTTTGTTGATTTAATCATGGTGAGGGCATAATGCCAAAGTTAATTTATCCATGTAGACATTTTTCATTTCATGTTCAAATTTAACGGAACAGCATCTTTAAGCATTCCAATAGGAAGTAGCATTAGAAGCTTGCCATCAAATTCCTCATGCAGCATGAGCTTTTTTTGGATTCATTGTTTTTACCTAGTTCTGAATTTCATTCTAAGACTTTATTATGAAAAACTTCATAACAACTAACATGGTTATATTGGTGTGCATATATCTATTACCTTGTTATTTTAAATATTTGGTTTTGCTAATCTTGCTCTCTAAGTTAAAAAATAGCATTTTAACTTATTCATTAAATTTATAATTTTTATCCTATTTTTATTTTGATGAATAATCTGTAGGGATTTTTATAAATATATTTTGTAAGAAAAAGCTGATTAAAATTAAAGTAGTTCTTTACTCCTTAAAACAGTATTAATTCATTTAAAGTATTAAATTCTTACTCTTTAGAATAAAAAAAAATAGAAAGCTTTTGATTTGCAATTTCTGTAAATAGTGCTTTTGTCTTACAGTCTTCCATCCAGTTTACTAAAGCACAGTTTTTATTGTTATTTCTAATTTACATCCTTAATAACCTTATTTTTGTGTTAGAAAAAATTTATAAAATAATACCAGATGCTGTAAAAACAATAAAAATAAGTCTAAATCACTTCAACTTCTAAAGAAAGCAGCTTTTCAAAAAAAACTGTGGACTAAATTTCATTGTTCATAAATGTAATCATGAAATATGAAACTATGGTCACTATCTCATTTTTTTCTTTTTACAAATACCATCAGTCCTCTGGGTCTGTAGGTTCCACATTGTGGATTCATCTAAACACAGATTGAAATTATTTTTTTTATTTTTATTTTTATTATTTTTTTTTGACAGGCAGAGTTAGACAGTGAGAGAGAGACAGAGAGAAAGGTCTTCCCTCTGTTGGGTCACCCCCCAAATGGCCGTTACAGCCGGCACACTGTGCCAATCCGAAGCCAGGAGCCAGGTGCTTCTTCCTGGTCTCCCATGCGGGTGCGGGGCCCAAGCACTTGGGCCATCCTCCACTGCCTTCCCAGGCCACAGCCGAGAGCTGGACTGGAAGAGGAGCAACTGGGACAGAATCCGGCGGGTATATGGGATGCTGGTACCACAGGGGGAGGATTAGCCTATTGAGCTGCGGTGCCAGCCTGAAATTATTTTTTTGAAAATTGTGTCTGTACTGAATTTACAGAATTTTTGTTGTCATTCCCTAAACAATATAGTGTAGCAACTATTTATATAGTATTTACATTGTGTTAGGTATTACAACTGATCTAGAGATGGCATAAAGTATATAGGAGTTATAGATAAGTTCTAGGCAAATACTACACTACTTTGTATGGGAGCCTTAAGCCTCTGTGGATTCTGAATCCGCAAACGTCCTAGAGCCAGCGCCCCTCAGATATCAGACTTCTTTTCCCTAAGCTTTCCAGTAGGCAGTCAGTTGTATTACCCGTGAAAACTTTATCTTCTAGCTCTAAATTTTTAGGTTTTACACATTCATTTATATCATTCAAATGTATTTCTACATTTGTAAGCTACCTCTGAATATTTATTTTGCCTGTACTTTTTCCCTACCTCTACAGTTTACATGTTTTTAATGAATTGACCTTATCGTGAATCCTTAGCCAACCTCAAATAGTCCTGAGGAACTTGGCTGTTTCTCATAGATATTTAAAATGGTGACATTGTAATAGTTGTCTGAAAATTTCTCAGGCTATAGTTTAGCATGTATTTCCTGGTTTTCATTCGTTTAATTTACCTGTATGTAAAAACCAACTTCTTGAGAAGTAGTGAGAAGAGTTAAGCTGGTTATAATTTATGTATTACATATAAAAACTCAAAAATAGGATAAAAATAATAAAACTTAGACTGAGAAAGTTGTTTTTCCTGTTTATAGTTACAGCTCTCATTTGTTTTTCTGATAATTTAAAATTTTCATTTAAAAATTTCCATTTTTATTTGTGTAGATTCTAATTTTTGTCATTTTACCAGGCTTTATTACATTTTTCCCAAGTACTCAGCTAATAAGAATGGAGCTTTAGAATGCTAGTGTTGGAATAGTGATTTGACAGCTGTCTTAATCTAAGTGTTAACATTTTTAGGCTGTTAACCAGGTATAGTTTTTGTGATCCCGAGGGTATTGCGACCCTTTAGGGTACCCAAATCTCCGTAAATGCACCCGGATCAGGTGAAAGCAGTGAAAGTTTTAGAGGGCAGAAAATATTAACATCTGTCTCAAGGCTGAGCAGAAAGAAGTTACTATGTATTTAAAATTCATAGTGACAACTGTACCTAATGTGGTACCAAGTATTTCATTTTTTTGTGTAGGTATTCAATTCTAATACCCATAAAAACTGTTTTAGTTAGTAATACTTTAAATAAATGTTATTCTTTAAGGCAACAAGTTTCAAGCTTAAAAAGTTGACAATGGGTACATTTAACCTTAAAAACTCTTAAACAAAAAAAAGAGCGGGTATTTTAAGTAATTTGAAATCAGTTGAAAATGATTAGAATGGCATAAAGTCTTAAGATAATGATTTAAACAATTTTAATGCAGGCAAAGTTTGTAAAAGTTTTGTTAAGTTTCAGACTCAGCTGGACATATGGTCTTGCTGGTGACTTCATAACAATGTAATTTGTCTGTACATTTTGAAATTCATTTTTACTGTTATGTTTTTGCTTCATCATTGGTTTCCTTATCCTACATTTTCTGATCATCTTCTGAATCTGCATCTCTTTCTGCTACTTTCCTCTACAGCATCTTCCCCACAGGGACCTAGGATTTACCTGTGTCCCAGCTCCCCCTCTCTGTCTTGTGGTTCCCTTCATCTTAAAAAGTCCTGTCTCCTCCTCTCGGAATCTAACCTTGCCCCTCATCAGTCTAGCCTTGTCAGCCCAGTTCTGAGGAAAAGTGTTTCTTTCAGTGAAGAGCTGTTCCTGGCTGCTTCTGGTAGGATCAAATTATGTCAGCTTTTTAATCCGTATGTTTTAAGTCTCCTTAAAAAATTAATTACTTTGTACTGTAAAGAACTATTGAATATGTTATATAGGATGTATTTATTTATTTTCTTACTGGTAGAGATAAATGATCAGAATTTATCATAAGGAAATAATTGGGGGTTATTGGATAGATAATTATGAACATTCCACCAAATTATTTTATATGTAAAAACTCATTTGTCTAAGGCCACAGATACATGTGGATATTCCCAGTAATTATTTAGGATCTTACTACTGGCACTTCTGGTTTAGGAGCTGTACTTTTCTTTCCCTTCATACCAACCCATTCACACTAGATCTGTTCCATCCTGTGGCTAAGCCATATGGTTACATTAGTAAATTATTCTGTTTGAATCAGTTTAAGTCTCATTTTGATGATACTGTTTCATTACCCATTTTTTTCTGTCCATTGCATTAATTATCAAGTTTTCCTGCTATATTTTCTGATATTTCACTTATCACTACAAATTTATATTTTATTTTGTGGCTTTTAATATGCTTCATATAAAGATCTAAGTTTTATTTCTATGTTTAGTATTGTATAGTCTCTAAGAATAATGTTTAGGTTACTATAAGAAAAATAAATTCCTTTTTTTTAAAAAGAACAGATGGGACTATACACATGCTAACCTGTTTCCTTATCCAAGAACAGCTAAAACTGTGAAAGTAAATTAGTTCCTTTTTAAATCACTGTAGTAAATTTGACTAGTATGTATTTTCAGTTTTGAAAGGGTGGGATTAAATCTAGTATGTAAAGCACTGACTTCTCACCTGGCCCCTGCTTTCTATATTTCTTAGATCCATAGTTGTCTATTGTACTTTCAAAACAGTAAAATAAGATAGGAAAAGAAATTTAAAGTTAAGCTTTAAAAATACATCTAAGAGCTTGGGAAATAGAATTCTTTCATCCATAACTGTGTACATCTGTGATGTGTCTATTACATGTCTATAATTTTTATTTCATTTTTTAAAATTTATGTTGACTTTTGTGAATGAGTATTGACAGGTATCAAAACAATGCTCTTTAGTCATATTTAGAAATGGGAAGTTATCAAGAAATGTTTGATTATATTTCAGAATTGCCTAAAGTTAGTGTTTTTTGGAGAATTTTGTATTTTAAGTGTGCATAATTAGTGCTTTTCTTCTGTGTTTATTTTTAATCACATGTTTACTATTTCTCTTATTTTAATATTCTTAAAACTGTTAGTAAAGTAAGCAACTGTTATCTTGTTTTTTTTTTATTAGAATACTCAATATTTAAAAATAGAATATTATACAAAGATTCATCACCTTAACATAATTTTTTGGACAAATTAAGTCCAAATCTTGCCTCTAAAGAAAACTTTGTGAATGAAATACAGTAAAATAGTTGCAATCCCAAAATACTTTAGATATTTGGATCATTTTATAATATTCTGACTCATGTTTATACATATAAATGCAATTAAACTTTCTGTTTCTATAGTTGTTGTTTTGGTTGTTGTTTATGTACTGATGTTCTGTAGGAATGGGAAGTGGTAGTGCTGGAAAAGAAGGGGGGCCATTTAAAGCCCTTTTGAGGCAGCAGACTCAGTCGGCACTGGAGCAGAGGGTAAGATCCACTTGACATTCCTTGTTATTATCCTGTCGATACGACTTTATTATCTTGTGCTTCCATGGACGTCTGTACTTTCATGAACTGTTTCTGATCATATATTTGTAATATTGCAGATTTGAACTCTGAAGTATATTTAAGGTTTTAAAGTGTTTTTTTAATGAATAATTACTTTTGATTTGGAATGATTCTGTACCGCTTTTTGTTATGTCCTCCAATCTATTAGGAGTATTCTTTTTGGAACTACTGACTGCATGATGAAATCATTTTTGGTTTTCTATTATGTTTATAATATAGAAAAGGAAATGGCAGCCATTTTTGTAGAAAAAGCATTTAAGTAGCCTTTTAGAATACTAAAAATAATTCTATAGTATATTTATTTTGTTGAAATTGTTTTTTATGACTGGCCAGTTTCTTTAGGTTTAAGAAATGTACATATTTTATGTTTTCAGAGATGAATATAAATAATGTGGTTCTGTTGATCTGGTACTTTTATTTTCATCATTACAAATTTAGTGTTTCATTGCATTTATTTAGTAGGAAAATACGTAGTTACAGTTTTTGGATGATTTTTCTTCTTTTTTTGTTTTTGTTTTTGCTTTATAAACTTCATTGCTAAGGGAGGATCGCCTCATAGGTTCTGTAGAAGGCGGGTATGTTTCTGAACATGTGTGAGAGCCTATTTCTTGTGTTGGAAGCTTTTCTAGTTTTAGTCCTGGTCATTTAAGTTTTATTTAAGCTTTTAGTAAGTGTTGTCAGCTTTTTTCTTTGCATAATGCTCATTTGTTTGCTTGTTAACTTAGTAACACTGTGAGGCTCATGTTCTTTTTTCTACTAATACAGTGCATGATTTTATATGTAGTGTCCATTATTTTAAGATACAGACCCATAGCTTTTATTATGTCTGATTTAGAAGCTATAAGCATTTATAGATTTTTATTTGGTGTGTTTCATTTTCACCATCACTGAGAGGAGGGAGGCAGGTGAAATATATACTAAATACCTGTGAAAGTGTGGGTTTTTATTAAACAGAGATACTCCCTTTCTACAGGTTAGGCTCTTGAAACTAGTGGTTTGCAGATCCTCTTATTAGAAATACTGCACTTTAGTTTCCTAGACATTTTCCCCTTCTGTTGAAAGTCTATGTGTAGGCCCTGTTTGCCTTTTAGCCAAGGCTGGAGAGAGCAGAAATGAACTAAGAAGAGTGATGGGGGTAGCTGTAACTGTTTTCTTTGCTCTGTACCCTACCAGGTAGCAGTTGTCTTTCAGCTACTCTTACCTCTTGCATTCATACCTAAGCTACTGCACCAAAAGACCCATTAACATGTTCCAGTCATCTCTGAAAACCAAATGTAGGGGCTGGCATTGTGTGTAGCAGGTAAAGCCTCCACCTGTGTTGCTGACATCCCATGTGGGTGCTGGTTCTTGTCCTAGCTGCTCCACTCTGATCCAGCTCCCTGCTAATGGCCTGGGAAAAGGAGCAGAAGGAGTGTGCAGCCCCATGCACCTGTGTGGGAGACCCGGAAGAAGCTCCTGGGTTCAGCCTGGCCTAGCCCTGTCAATTGTAGCTCTCTGGGGAGCCAACTAGCAGATGACAGATCTCTCTCTGACTTTCAAATAAGTAAATAAATCTTAAAACACAAATATAGCAGAAAATTAAAAACATGGAAGAGGGTCAGAGTGAAGGTGTTTGTGTCCATTTACTGTGTTTTAGGTCAGAATGGTCTTATCTCCTGCCCCCTCCTGTTTTCACATTCTCCAGAGAGTCTCTTATTGCTGCAAATATGATTTTTGTAATCCAGTTACTGTTCCAGCATTAGCATCAATAGAAAAATTTAAATTGCCTTGAAATTTGACATAATGGCATTTTGCCTGCGTGTTATACCTATGACTTCACCATCTGTAGTAAGAACCATCTCACTTTAACGGGAAAAAATAACAAACAGTGAAAATCATTTTGAATTTACTGTAGGTAACATTTGCATTTTCAAATACACTTTTAAACATTCTTAAAATTGGGGACACATTAGGTACACATTGCTAGATATTCTTCACGGAATTCACAGCAAGGGTGAGGGGATCTGTGGTTTTCCTATACGACTTTGTAAACTCTTAGTTTGCTACGTCAGGAGATCTCTATAACCTGTCCTCACTGTGGCAGTTGCCCGAGGGTGTAGGCTGCTCTTTTACCCATCTATATAATGCATAGTGAAAGCATTGCCAGGTTTAATTTTCTCATTCTCATTCTGCTGCTAGTAATATGGCTCTTCTTTTGGGCAAATTTATTTAGAAGCATGAAGATTACCTCATATGTTCATATATGACTTAGTTTTGCCCAGCTTGAACTCTAAATCATGTTATTGACATAATGTACTTTTTAAAATATTTTTTAAAAATTTATTTCTTTGAAAGGCAAAGTTAGAGAGGGAGAAAGATAGAGAGATACTCCTTCTGCTGGTTCACTCTTCAAATGGCTTCAATGGCTGGGGTGGGGCCAGGCTGTAACCAACAGCCTTGTAACTTCATATGGGCCCCAAGTAATTAGGCCATCTTCCACTGCTTTCCAGGCACATCAGCAGGGAGCTGGATCAGAAGTGGAGCAGCCAGGACTCGAACTAGCACCGATATGGGATGCTGATGTTGCAGGCAGTGGCTTAACCCACTGGGCCACAACACTGATCCCTGTGGTTATTTGTTAAATATTCATTTCCAATCCTTTTAACTCTCCCTGAGTAAGTGGTATGGATTTTTTCGTCTTGAAGAGTGGAAAACTTTATTTGTCCAACCTCTTTTAATGGTTATTCAAGTAGCAACTCTCAAAAATAAAACTGTTGTTCTTGTCTCTCATAAAAGCATTAAAGCATAAGTTGACAGTATCTTCACAATAGATGCCAGAGTGTTAGGAGATGAGAAAGGGAGAAAAAAGTTTTATTTAGATTGAGCTTCTACCTGTGAATTGCTTGGTATAAAGCAGATATATTTTATATTTCAGTAAGACTCTTTCTTCTTTAAGAAGATAGAAATTACCTTTTTAGGTCCTGAGTTGTATGTTTTTCTTCAGTTAAGAGATTTAGCATGGTTTATTAGATGTCTCTGAAATATGTTTTACTATAGAACTTTCCAGTTAAAATACATTTTAGTGAGGAACACACTTTGGAAACCATTGATACAAACCAAATTTGGTGAATTAGGATCTTTTAAGAGGTGGGGTAATTGATACATCCTTTAGAATCTGCTGCTGGTGGCAGCTATGGCTCTCCTAATTAGTTACTTTTCTAGAAATGAAATTTTGGTTAAATAACAGGCTTTTTAGTTATGATAGGTTATGAAATTATTTGTTTTAAAGTGGGTTGGTGGGCCGATCAGGAAACCTGGAGACTTAGAAGACAGAATTTGCTAAGTCAGCAGAGTGTACCTTCATGCCTTTGGAAAGCTGTTGCCTTCTGTTCTCTGATAAGCTCTGCTATGCCTTCTCCCTTGTTCTTTCTTCCACTCTCCTGAGATCTGGGGAAAAGAGTAAATAATCCTGAATAGAGAAATCATTAAGGTTCACACTTACCTAAAATCTTATATGCAGATATTTCACAGTGAGTAAGTTTACTAAATTTCCTAGCTTTACAAGAAAGTGCTGTTTTCTGTTTTGCTTCCAAAATTTTTATTTTCAATATCTCTTGTCTAGTTATTTAAAAGATTGAGATTAATGTAAAGTACTTTTTTTTACCCATTTGGAATCATCCCATGAGGAAATTTTAAAAAATTAGATATTTCTGACATTGGGAAAACTGTCTTAAATGTCTGACTTATTACGGAAAGCACGTTTCTTGTAACATAAACTGACCTATGCATTTCTCAGAGAGAAATACATACACATTTTTGACTGAAGGTTTTAGAATGCATTTAACTGACAAACTCCTTTTGTGTTCTCTTTTTTTCCTTCTCTCCCTCTGTCAGTTGGGCAAAGCCTAAACATTTTCTAGACTGTGTTTTATTTTTTCTAACGAAGCCTGGATTTTTCTTGCCTTGTTAATTTAAAGATTTGTGTGCGCACACACACTTTGTACTCTACTTTCGTGAGTTACTGAGGCATGCAGCTCTTTTAGCTTTGTGCCAATTGATCCCAAATTGCTATGCCTTGTGGATTATGCTTTTGTGAGTTTGTATTCTCCGTGCTTTAAGCAACCAGTCAGTAATCTTGCTGCTTTTAATGTACCTGGTTCTAGTAGTGTTCTGTATCTATTTCTCTCCCAGCTTTTCTTTGTTGCATTGAGTCTGCCATGGTATAGAAAATAAGATAATCCTAAATTTTTGAATTCTATATTCCTAACATATGTATTTATAACTTTACTCTGTGGGTATACCACAGTTGAATAATATAGGCAGTGGGGATCTCCTATGAACAAAGAGCGTGAGCTTTTGTAGTTGGAACTGTACAGTTCTTTTGACTATTGAGAGCTCTGCTTGGCTTATTTTCCAGCTCTCAGGTAAGTTCAGAGTAACTGAGGCTACTGGTTAGGCGAGCTCTGTGAATTTTGCAGGGAAGATAGCAGCTTTCTCTGATCTGCATCCACTTTGTGTAACGGAGGGAGGGACCTCTGTCTGGGCAGCTGCAGGACCTCCCTTCTCTCCTGGGTGCTATTTCAGTGGATTCCTTTCTCTGCTTGATCATTTCTTTCTGGCATGCTGCTTCTCACCTCGCAGTTAATGAGTTTTCTGTGCCTAAGAGCAGAGGTGAGAAGAGCTTGTGCCATTTCATTGCTCTTGTATGCCTCACCCCTTGTATGCCTGCCCTAGCTCTTACATGCCTCACCGCTTTCCTTAGCATTCATTTCTGTACTTAGCGCTGTCCTGCTGCCCTGGTGTTGACGGAGTAAGAGCACAGAATCCTAGGCAGCGATGTTCTCAGCCTGCCTCACCTTGGTGTGTGTGTGGCCTTATGGTCCCTCTTTTCTGCTAACCCGTGCTGCCCCTCCACCCTTCCCAGGTCCCGTTTTCTTTTACATCTCTTAGCCCAGGCCTTGGGAGTCTTCACCAATAGCACACACTTGGTGTGTATGTGAGAGGGTGGCTACACCACTGAGATCTAGAGAAAGGGTGGACAGGTGGGGCAGTCCACTCATCTCACTGTGAATTTGCACCAGAGCTGGGCCCCGATGGAGAGAAAAGAACAGGTTCTGAGTATCTCAGATTGGACTCAGAACATTTTTTCTCATCGAGACTTAATAGGAGGGGCATTTGGATTTGGTGTAACATTGCACATATGGGGAAATGAGTTTGGAACTCTGACCATCTAAGGAAACTTAATTACGATGCATGTGTAATCTGTGTTAAAGAGAGAGCTTTCAGTTTCAAAGTAGACAGTACATTTTCTTATGACAAGCTCTTTCGCAAGCATGTTTGTTATGCTTTACACGTGATCAGTAATGTTTTCCCTCATTTTCTCTGTTAGGAGTTTCCATTTTTTACCTTGACGGCATTTCCTGCTGGATTTCTTGTGCACGTTGGAGGTGTTGTTAGTGCACGTTCGGTGAAGCTTTTGGATCGTATCCACAATCCAGGTACATTTTTAAAAAATTTGATTTCAGTGTTTCCTTTATTTAAATTGTGATTACTAAAGTTGATTTTTATAATGTTTCTTAAGCCAGATCTATCTGAAAAGAGAAGCAAAAAGAAAGTAAAATTTACACTATCTTAATTGAAAATAAACCAAGTAGAAGTATATTCTAGTTACTTTCCTAAAAAAACAAATGAACAGGCCTTGGTTTATTTTTGGCCAAGTGTCACTCTGAGAGAATCCTTAAATAGCTTTTGAGTTAGCAGTTTACTTTGACCCATGGACATAAAAAATTTTAAAATTTTACCATTTAGGACATTAATTTAAGATGTTAATTCTTCTCATTAAAAATAGCTGTTTATAGGTTATTGAATTTCATTCCTCAAAAAAATACATTTTTTAAAAATTTATTTATTCAAAAGGCAGCGTTATAGAAAGACAGAGAGAAAAAGAAGGAGAGGGTGTTTCTTCCATCCCTGATTCACTCCCCAAATGGCTGCAATGATCAGAACTAGAGTCAATCCAAAACCACGAGCCAGGAGCTTCCTCTGGGTGTCCCACATGGGTGATGGGGCCCAGGCAGTTGGATCATCTCCTATTGCTTTCCCAAGCCATAGCAGAGAACTGGATTCGAAATAGAGCAACTGGGCCTCAAACCAGTGCCATATGGGATGCTGGTCCTCTGCAGGTGGCTGCATTACCCCTTTGCCACAGCACTGGCTCCCAAAAAGGCATTCTTTTAAAATGTAATTGTAAACACTGTGTAGAGGATCTAAAAATTAAAAAAATCAACAGCCTCCTAGCATCTGACTCCTTAGTTTCTCTTATGTAGCTATTTGTTTGATTCACGTAATAAACAAGAATAGTAGTTCCCTTGTTTAAAACCTGGGCCATAATTTTAAAAGAGGTAGCAATCAATGTCCAACTAATTTTAGACCTTTGAATTGGAAATACTTTGGTGATTGTTCTTAATCTAAAATGATCGTGATAAATGGTAGGAACTTTTTTTTTTTTTTTTTTGACAGGCAGAGTGGACAGTGAGAGAGAGAGACAGAGAGAAAGGTCTTCCTTTGCCGTTGGTTCACCCTCCAATGGCCGCCGCTGCAGCCGGCGCACCACGCTGATCCGATGGCAGGAGCCAGGAGCCAGGTGCTTTTCCTGGTCTCCCATGGGGTGCAGGGCCCAAGCACCTGGGCCATCCTCCACTGCACTCCCTGGCCATAGCAGAGAGCTGGCCTGGAAGAGGGGCAACCGGGACAGAATCCGGCGCCCTGACCGGGACTAGAACCCGGTGTGCCGGCGCCGCAAGGTGGAGGATTAGCCTATTGAGCCACGGCGCCGGCCGGAACTTTTTGAATGAAATGTGTTCTTGCATATCACTGACTGGATGCTCAGTCATTTGCTCAAATGAGTTATTATATTGAAGACATCCCTGAAGTCAGAAATTATGTTAATATCTTATATTATCATTCTCAGTAACCTCTTTATGAGGTTTGTATTGACAGCTATAAAAAGGAGTGTGAAATGCTTTGAAGTCATTGGATGGAAGACATTCATTGCATAGTGAGTTTGAGGATAGAGAGTATTTCTGTCCTTTAAAATTTAAAACAAACAAACAAACAAAAAACTTGTGCCCTGCGATTTGATGTCACTTGAATTAATTACAGAGAAGCAAAATGGAGTTCTTCTGGACATGATGGACATGAATAGGAATTCAGAAAAGCAGTGCTAGCCAGGATTATGTAATTCTAAGGCTAAACAAATACCTTTTAAGCATCAGCATTCCTTTTTTTGTCTCTGTTTAATTTTGTTCCTTGTTTCTTATTCTAGTCAATTGAAGAATTTTTCTTTATTATAGTATTTGTATATTCTGTAGCAAGTAATGAAAAAATGAGACTGATGCTAGTTTCATGTACTGAAATCTTGTAGGCTGTGCCAAGTTCTACATCTTTCTGTGTGGGAACTTAAATTATTTAAAACATGCAAGCAAATACTAAGTTACAATACCTCACATTATCTGTGTTACCCAAGACCAGCTACTTGTATTTCTATGGACCTTTGATCAAATATTTTAAGAAATTGCGTCACCTGATACAGTAGCTACAAAAATGGTTTTGGAATATATGCAGTTGTTGGTGACGTCTTCTGTTTATTGAAAATACTTTGATTTTATTTTGTTACTTCCATATACTCTGAGTAAGCAGCAGAGTCTGGGAGAACAAATGAAGGTCACTTAAATAAGCTTTTAAGTGTAGAGCTCTTTTTAAATTGTCACGAGTTTTTTATTTAAAAAACTGCTCTTTGGTGTTTGCCATACCTGCCAGTTCATTCTAATTGCGTAAAACAAATGTAAGAATCCAGGTCCAGGGCAAAACCAAAGAGAATCCTTATTACAGAATATGCTCTGTGTTTTTAATTTCCGGAACTACCCATTCTCTCTTTTTCCTTCCCTTTCAGAATATTTTTTCTATTCACAGGTAGAAAAGCTGTTATGAATGAACTGTTTCCAAAATGGTTATGGACATACAGATATAAATGCTGTTAATGTTTATAAAAATAAATGTATTTTCTTTCCTTTTTAGTTAAATATGTATCAATTATATATTCTAATAGTTCCAAAATTAATTTGGTTTAAAAGATTCTAATTCTTTGGATTGTTTTTATGTATGTATTGTTAACTAAAAAGAAATATTTTCTTAAGACCATTTATTAACCTCAAGGCCCCTGAAGTAGTTATCTGTTAAAAAAAAAAAAAAACTTAAATTTGTTGAAGCTAAATGTTAAAACAGTGAAATTCCCATAATGATGAAGCAGTACTTTTGTGACACTGCTACTCTGTTGAGAGAAACTTAGGGTGCATTGAGATGCACATGCTGATATTTAAAGTACTGTGTTTGCATTCTCAGATGAGTCTTGCAGCTATTTTTTGACTAGTGAATATGGGAAATTTTTTTTTCACTCTCAGTATAGAAGGGTAAAAAAGTCTTAGTGTAAAACCATGACTACCTGCTAACTCTATAGATTATAATTTCGAGATTTTTGTCTTTAGAACTTAGTCCTTTGTTAAATATTTACCAAACAGGAACATACAACAAGGGAAAGAATGGGGTGGTTTTAAAAATTAACTAATAATTAGACTAGTTAATGGTAGATTACTATAGCATGCTTCTTCTTTCCCTTTCTATTTCTACTTCTTATTAACTCTGCTATCTGTGTCTTTCCAGTTCCTGTCCAGTGATGTTGTCAATTGTGTTCTTGTTTCTAGTGTTTTTTTGTTTTGTTTTATTCCTACTATTCTGCACCTAAAACTGATCTACTAATTTGCTGTTTTGAACTCAGCCTTTGTCGGAATTATGGGTAACACAAGATCTTACAAACTACTAGACTGGAATAGTTTCAATTCAGGTATTTTAATGGTCATTCAGTACTACATATGCTGACAAAAATTATGGCAGCTCAGTGAAGTTTTTAGAAATGTTCTAGATTAAATAGGCTTAATGTCAATTCAGTTATACAGATACATTCTGCAATATGTATGTAATAATGCAACTTCCATGGAAATGCAATTATAAAATGTATTAATTAAAACAAAATTAATCAAAACTATAGAAATACCGTACGTTATGAATTACTTTTTTTAGGTGATAAATTTTCAAGATGATAATTTTAAATTATTTTTATTACATTTTGGGCAGTTTTTTTCATACGTAAATAACATGGACATTAGCTTTATGGTTGAGCAAACATTTAACTATGAGTAATAACTAGTCTGATAAAACTTAAAGTATATTTAAGCTGTATATTTAGATTTGAATAGAATATATTTAGTGTTCTATTAAGACACTATAAAAGTATAATTGTTAGCATTTTTCTTTAAAATTCAGGAAGTGTTCTAAAATATAGTAACTAAGAGTGTATTTTTGGGGGGATTAAATAACTTTCATAAGCTGTCCATCTTCCCCTACCACATGAGAATGTAATTTTTTAAGTAATTTTACATATGGATATAGTTTGTAGTTTTTACCTTTACAGCTGATGAAATGGTTTAGAAGCAAGGTCAATTTTTTCATTTTGCTAAAAGCGTATTCTCAGTAATGTAAATACGTAATTTTTAATTGCCTTTTTTAATTATAGACCAACTTGCTTATTTGAAGCTCATATTTTGCCTCAAGTTCTTTGTGTCAAAAAGTGTGTATTACACAAAAACAAAGACATCAGGTGACTCAGCATTTTAGATAATATCTCATCATCTTTTTTTTTCTTTTAAGATTTATTTATTTACTTGAAAGGCAGAGTTACACAGAGGCAAAAGCAAAGGAAGAGAGAGAGAGGTCTTCCATCTGCTGGTTCACTCCCCAGATGGCTGCAACAGCCAGAGCTGGGCTGCTCCAAAGCCAGGAGCCAAGAGCCTCCTCCAGGTCCCCTATGTGGGTGCAGGGGACCAAGGACTTGGGCCATTTTCCATTGCTTTCCCAGGCCACAGCAGAGAGCTGCATTGGAAGTAGAGCAGCCGGGACTTGAACCAGTGCCCACATGGGGTGCTGACTGACATCTTAGGCAGCAGCCTTACCCGCTGTGTCACAGTGCCAGCCCCCGTCATCTGCTTAATACTATAAACATTATTTGTTAAAGTGCCAAAATGTAAGTTCTGAAGTAAGTCATGAATGGTTGCTATGCAGTAACTCCTGGTCACCATGCAGATTTATCTCAGTTTAATCTGACCAGGTGCAGCCTTTGCAGAGGGAGCCTGGGATCAGTTGGCTTATCTGCAGGCCATTATCCCTATTTACCATAAGTTTGCAAACATGCTGTTGTTGATTAGAATTAAAGTGATCATTTTTAGTATAACATGTCAACATTTCATTATTGCTTTTTTCTTTAAGATCTCTTTATTTGAAAGTCTGAGTTAGAGAGAGAGATATGGAGAGACAGAAAAAGATCTTCTATCCACTGGTTCATTCCTCACATGACCACGACAGCCAGGGCTGGGTCAGGCGGAATCCAGGAAGCCTGGAACTCCATCTGGGTCTCCCACATGAGTGGTGGGATCCAAGCACTATGCTATAGTTTTGACCCCTTGTTGTTGCTTTATGGTGAGAAATTAAAACATACCTTGCTGGTTTCTTTCACAAAGTAAGAATATATTTTTAAAACCAACGACAGGGGCTGGCCCTATGGCGCTGCCAGTTAAAGCCCTGGCCTGAGGCACCAGCATCCCATATGGGCTCTGGTTCTAGTCCCGGCTGCTCCTCTACTGATACAGCTCTCTGTTACAGCTCTCTGTTATGGCCTGGGAAAGCAGTAGAGGGTCCTTGGGCCCCTGCACCCATGTTGGAGACCCAGAAGAAGCTCCTGGCTCCTGACTTCGGATTGGCTCAGCTCCAGCCGTTGTAGCCATCTCGGGAGTGAACCAGTAGATGGAAGACCTTTCTCTGTGTCTACCTCTCTCTGTAACTCTGTCTTTCAAATAAATAAAATAAATCTTAAAAAAAAAAAATGGGCAAATTAGAATATTGGGAAGAGAGAAGGATGTAGAAAAAAAGTTGAGAGCACACTGATGATTAATAATTTAAGGAACTGTAGTTGGGACAAAGGTGTTTAGGGTGATGTGTGTGTTTGTCAGATGATAGAATAGTTTGAAAGTAGATATAGCAAAAAACTAATTCTTAGAGGAATAAAAAGGACATTGTCTCATGCAAGCAGAATTACAGTTTGGCAAGGAAAATGTGGTTGATGAAACAGCATATCTTGCCATCATTTAAAATAGTGTCAGATAGGAAATGTATTAAATAAAATGGATATAAACTGTAGAATATTAAAAGGCCTTAAAAGATGACACTTTCAGTGTTGTCATAGCTCTTGATGAGGCATTATAATCTTTCTAGTAATAGTACATCTTCAGAAATAAAGCTGATTTTGGTATTAAACTATGTTTTCTAGATTGCCTGACACCATTTCATATACTGCATTATCAGTTTCATGATAAGCCTTCAAAGAGAAAAGAAAAAGAAACAATACCATATTGAATATACTTAATAGTTTTTAGGTTTTTTTTTATCTCAGAAACAAAAGATGGAAAGATACAGGAAAATATATCACACAGTGTTTGATAAGATCTGGTATGTAACATGTATACCATACACAACCACAGGCTACATAATAATGTTGTGGTCAGCAATACACTGTATGTACAGCAGTGGTCCCTTAGAATTATATTGCCTAGTGATATCATAGGCATCTTAGTCTGTGTAAGCACACTCTAAGATATTCACACAGTGATCAAGTCGCCTAATGATGCACTGGTTAAAGGATGCATGGCCTTATTGGAATTTATTTAGTTCTGTGCAGTTTGCTTGGTGGTAGAGTACAAAAGTTACCAGTCCCCCACATTCATGAAACTCTTAAGTTAGAGGATAGAGAATCGTTAAATGGTTTTCTGTGTGGTGTGGTGTGATGTGACTTAGAGTTAAAGAGGAAGGCACAACTGACAATGTCAGGGAAGTCAGATTTGAAGGAATATTGGAGAATCACACAGATTTATATGTTTCAGACAGTTATGTTAAGGCCCATGTCAATATGGGAGTGTGGTTCTGAAACTTCAAGCATTTGTACCATATCCTTTGATGATGTTTACATGGTTGCTTCATACTGAATAAATTGTTTGCCACAGAGAACAACAAAATGATGTGGCTAGTTTTTTAGTTAGCTTTTTTCTCCCATCTCATTTTCTCCTCTTTTACTGTCTTAGTTTGTGTTAACTAAACTGAGAGAAAATACTTTTTAGAACAGGAGGAAGGAACCCCTTCCAAGAACTTATTTTAAAAATAATACTTTTTCTTATCTTCTTAAGTTTCTGGTTTGATAATAGATTTTGAGAAAGACAAGATGAATCTTGCCACAGCACTTGCAGATCTTGTTTGTGGCATGCCAGGAATAGGAGTGCGTGGGAATAGCATAGGGTAGCCTGTGGTCATATCTGCGTTGTGCTATTGATTATAGGATGGATGCAGAATGGGTTTATTTATTTATTTTTAAAGACATCTATTTATTTGAAAGTCAGAGTTACACAGAGAAGGAGAGCCAGAAAGAGAGAGAGAGGTCTTCCATCCACTGATTAACTCCCCAATTGTCTGCAGTGGCTGGAGCTGAGCTAATCCAAAGCCAGGAGCCAGGAGCTTCTTCCAGATATCCCCTGTGGGTTTAGGTGCCCAAAGACTTGGCCCATCTTCTACTGCTTTCCCAGGCCAAAGCAGAGAGTTGGATTGGAAGTGGAGCAGCCGGGACTCAAACTGGTGCCCGTATGGGATGCCAGCACTGCAGGCAGCAGCTTTACCCGCCATGCCACAGTGCTGCCTCTGATATTTATTTATTTTTAAACATTTGTTTAATTTATTTCAAAGTCAGTTACAGAGAGAGAAGGAGAGAGAGAGGTTTTCTGTCCATTGGTTCACTCTCCAAATGGCCACAGCAGGCCGGACTAGGCCAGACCAGAGCCAGGAGCCAAGAGCTAGGAGCCAGGAGCTTCCTCCTGATATCCCACATGGGTGCAGGGGCCCAAGCAATTGGGCCATCCTCCACTGCTTTCCCAGGTGCATTAACAGGGAGCTGGATCAGAAGTGGAGGAGCTAGGATTCAAAATGGCAGCCATATGGGATGCCAGCATTGTAGGTGGTGGTAGAGTGATAAGAAAGTGGAGAGACAGAGATAGAAAAAGATCTTTCTGTCTGCTGGTTCATTTCTCCCAGGCCTGCAACAGCGGTGGGCTGGCCAAGGCTGATGCCAGGAGCCAGGAACCACATGAGTGGCAGGAATCCAAGTCCTTGGGTCATCATCTGCTGCCTCCTAGGCACATTAGCAGGAAGCTGGATCAGAAATGTGGAACAGTTGAGTCTCAAACTGGGCAATCATGTGTGGGATACAGGCATCCCAAAAGACATCATAAATTCATGAAATATTTGGAATGTCAAATTAGCAGTGTTTATCTGAGAGGGATGAGAGACAGAGAATCCCATATACTTACAAATCTAAAATTTCAGTGAGGTATTGAGTCCTATCGTTTGGAAACTCAGTGTGTTTTTGAAAGTTTATTTGTGAAAAATATTTGAAGAATGCATTTTAATACTCGAAACTTACTGTTTCTCAAGGTTTTAATCAGCAGTAGTCTTGGTATAGTTGAGAAAAGTTTGTTATTCTTTCTTTGTATAGGATACATGTCAAGCTTAGGTTTGGTTTTTTTTTTTTTTTAGAAACTTGCAAGAGAGAGTATAAAGTGGTTATATAATGTGTGTTGAAAATACAATTGTATATTAGTTTGAAATAACTTCCAAACTTAATATTTTTAACATGATGTTTTAAATCCTTAAAAGTCAAGTAGGCGCCAGCGCTGTGGCACAGTGGGTTAAAGC